AACCCTCTGCGCTGCTCTCCTCAGCTCCTCAGCCCCCTGTCAGTGGGTTGACCACACACAGCTCTGCCAGGCTCATCGTGACACAAGCCATTGGTTGTCCAACAGCGGCCACTCCAACTACCTCATTGCCCATTTTTACTGCAAAGCCCACAATCCCCAGGAGTGAACCTCTTTTCTCTCATCCACATCCCCATTCTTTCTGTCCCATCCTTCTCCTTCCCACTCCTCGTCTTGCATACTCCTCTGCTGCCTGTACCCTCCCCATCACACTGCAAAATGTTCATGCTTTTGCCATTCACAACCTCATCGTCAATGAGTAGGTTGACATCCTCACCCTCATGGAAACTTGGATCATCCCAGGCAATACCCATGAGACAGGCATTGACAGGTGCTTTATATTATTGTTGCACTCTTTTATATGCATCCCCAGGATTAATATATAGTGCTAATCAAAATCCTGGTTAACTTTGTGGAATACGATCTTTCTCCTAATAGTCTTATCCACTTATAGCCACCTATCCAAAAACTCCTAATACTACAGGCAATCATTTCAAGTTCATACAAGAAGCCATTTACATAATGGAATACTTCTTGATAAAGCAGACTATTCGTAATCAATCTTCACAAAACAGGGGAAAATATTAACTTATTGACATTAAATATTAATATTAGCAGTCGTCCCAAACCTCAGAAGAACCATGCCATTAATTTACAAGTATATGGAGTGAAATGCACCATGAGTACAAATGTTGTTGAGAGTTTGGAGTTCAGGTTCAATGCGAACAGCAACAAAAACATAAAATTGTATTTATATATTGCCTTTCATGTTGGGAGGATGTTCCAAGGTGGGACTGTGAAGAGTTTGCATGCAAATTGGGAGTCAACAAGGATGGAGGTGGGAGGACTGCTGAAGGTGTAGTCAGAGGAAGGTCTTGAAACATTTCTTGAAGGAAGAGATGAGGTGGAGGGGCTGTTTGGTGGAGTTCCAGAGGTTGGGGGCAGAAAGGTTGAAGACGGACCGCCGATGATGGAACAGACAGCGCTGATGACATGGAGCAAGCCACTGCCCGCCCAACGGGGGAGATTGGTAATATTTTAGTAGGTCACATAAGTGGGGAGGAGCAAGAACATGAAGGGCTTTAAAAGTGAGAATGAGGATCTTGCACTCAATCCTCTGGGGGTTGGGGGCCAGTGGCGCCGGGTGTGGAGGGAGATGGTAACCTCATGGAGCTTAATGTGGGAGAGGACATAAATTGTAGAGTTCTGAATAACCTGTTACTTGCCGGGGGAAGAGATGGAAAGTCCGGCAAGCAGAGTTAGCATCGTCAAGCCTGGATGTAACGAAAGCATAGGTAACAGTCTTGGCGGTTTGAGGGGAAAAGCAGTGGTGGTGTCGGGCAATGTTGCAGAAGTGGTGGAAAGCAGAACAAGTCATGGCATGGATGTGGGTTTCAAAAGACAATTGACGATCAAACAAAGTTCTGTACTCGGTGAGGTGGAGAGTACATTTATGAATATTGATGCTATCAGTGCTTGAGGTAAAAGACACTTACTGGAGCCAAACAGGAGGGTCTCGGTCTTGTTGACATTCAACTGGAAACAATTGTTTCTCATCCAGGACTAGATATCTGAAAGGCAATCAACTAGGACAACAGTGGTCCTGGAGTCAAGGGTGGAGGCAGAGAAATAGAGCTGGGTGTCATCTGGATAACGACATGCCAGTGGATGATATCCCAGAGTGGGAGCAAGTAAATATCAATGAGGTTATTTAAAGAGTTAAAAGAAATTTTACTGCTCCTCTATTCTACCTGATTTAGAAATGATTGTTTGTAATGCAGAGAAGAAGGAGTGTTACTCTGAGACCCCATCTGTAAAGAATGTGCAAACAATAAATAATTAGATCTAAAGAAAAATATTTGTTGAAAAAACAATAGAGAGATACAATTAGGTTCAGATATTTGCAATCCCTCTAAAGCCATCTCTCCAGAAGTGAGACCTCTCCTTGTTACATGTCACTATTGATGTTTATATTGTAATAAATTCTCACTGAGAGAAAGATTTCAATGAGCAAACGGATCAATTTATATAAATAAATAGTAGGCATGTTAGTGTTCTTCACAAATTTACGGGCAAACAAATGTGTAATAAATGACATGTAACCCTTCATGTTTGCCTAATAAAAACAGTATACATGAAGTAACAAAAAGACAAATCATTTATTGTATCGCACATTTTAGAGATAAAGAAGTTGCATGAAAGATAACTTCAATCACAAAAATTAAAATAGTCAATTTGTTGTAACATATTTAATTGGTCTTTAGAGTGGTGTTATTTTAAGAATTTAATTATTTTACTACATTGTTATTTATCGATTGTTATATTATTTCATAGATTTCATCTTCAATTTGGTTTGAAATACAAATATATTGGGATGGTATCATTTTCAAAATGAGTTGAAAACATGGCAACAACAACAATATTATATTTGTAAAGTGCCTTTCACTTCGGGAGGATGTACCAGCAGTACGCTTTAATGGTAAAATCATTGTTTGGCTTCTATAAACCAATTATCTATGCATATATTGCTGGGTAAACCATTCAGTGATGGGTCCTTGAATGACTTTTACAGTAAATTTGCAGTCAAGTCTAAAACTGAGGCTAACTGGAATGTTTTAGGTTTAATTCATGGTCGGTTCTGTCCTGTTTAATTTTAGATGAGATGACAAGAGGCGTGCTATATTTGACCTTGGCATTGATGTTTGGGAGGGGATAATCAATCTCTAATAACTTATTTTATAATAGTTATTTACTTGTTTTTCTCTGGAGACAGTGTTTCTCGGTTTTGTAGTCTCAGTTATTCCCTTAGATATCTGGGTGCTTAGGTTTTCAGCTGCCTTACAACAGATCCTTAGTAGAATAGTATACATTTTAATGGTTCCCTGTGGTCTATAAACAACAATAATAACAACTTGCATTTATATAGTGCCCTCCAAGCAGGGTAGCATCTCAGAGCATTTGAAACAGGCTGCCATACAATTTGCCCATTGTATTAATAGGTCAGGGTTAACAAATTGACCTGGCCTGTGAAAAAACTACGATTGATGGTAGAGGTGAACTGAATACTGGTATGATAGCCACCAGGACAGTTACTTAAAGAAACAAGGTCTCGGGGACAACTGTAGCTTGGTTTCCCTGAGTCAGAAATGGCATTCCTTGTAGTTTTTTTAGACCAAATGAGGATAATTACAACCTTTCCCATCATCTAATACGTCAGCACCTAACAATTAACTTTGGTAATCAATTAAATATGTACACATTTGGAGTGCAGTTATAATACTGGAACTTCATTTGATTCAGTTTTCAGATTGCAAGGAGTCCTCTTGACGCTTGACTGCTATACTCATGGCCATACCAAACCTATATAAATGTCCCTTACCTGTTACTTAAAAACCCCAGTAATAACATCTAAGCATTGTTTTTACCATCTTGAAATCCTATCTATCTTCTTCAGGCTCCAATTCCAAATCTAAGTCTTTCTTTTACCCCTTTGCTGCTGCCCTCTATGAGAATCTCACGTATTTCCCCAACAGTTTATTGAGCTGTAACCTCTGGATGTCACAAGCGGTGTTATCATATTTTAAAAAACTTCCCTTTCTGCCTCTAACGTTTCAAATTCTGCAATAGGATTACTTGCAGTGCATAATTTGATCGGTCAAAGGTTGAGCCTCTTACCAAAGAATATTTAGGAACATGGAGAGCTTCAAATTGATTATACTTCAATTTACCCGTTTTCTTCTGGAATACTGAGTTGAAGTAATTGTCCACATTGTACCTTTTGGAGATCATATCACCAGTGACACAATATCTGTGTGTGTTTAACCCGTGAGGAATTGAAGTTCGGTGTAACATTCAACTCATTTTACTGCAGCAAATTAAGGTATCACTTTAAAAAGAAACAGGAAATCTATTTCTTCAGTCCTCAGTCTGCAGACAACTTCATATAAAGGTTATAGTGAACAGTGTATAGTTCAGGCTTCACTGACAGTGAACTGACACACTTGAAGTTGCAAACAATGAGCTCGCTCTTAAAATGTGAGAGTATATGTGTTGCTGCATGATCAATGGAAACATTGCCTAATAGCTACAGTCATTCACCACACACTGAACTAAATATAGGTGTTCTATATTTAGTCTGAGAGAGCGCAGCGATGGTGAAGTTTGATGCTGTTTTGATCAAAGATAGTAACAACATAATCGGAGCTCAGTTAATTCTTGTTAAATATAAATTAGCAGATATGTGACCAGTAAAACGCCCACAGCTTAACCTTTTCACTGTGGTAAATGACTTGCCTCATAGTTGCTAAACTGTTTTTGAGCTAAGCTTTTGTGTTGAAGAGACAAAGTAACATGTAAAGAGAAGGCAACAGGATTTGCTGCAAAATGGTCTTTATTAAAATCTTGTTAAACAAGATAAAGTATGATTCCGAACATTTATAATCTGCTCATGTTATTCTATTAGCTTTCTTTACAAATATAATAATCCATGCATTTGACTTATCAACTCCTCGAGACTTCTCAAAGAATTGCACAGGATTTTTACTGTGAGATGCAATGACTGTGTATTTGTAGTCAAAGGCGCAACCAATATGTCAAAACAGCCATAAAGTGAGTGACTAATTTTATTTGGGGGAATGTTGACAAGGACACCAGGAGAAACTTCCTTCTCTTTTGGAATAGTGCCATGAGATCTTTAATATTCACCCGAAAAGGCAGACTGGCCTCAGTTTAACGTCTGAAGATCTGCACCTTCAGCACATTGCATGCAGGGCATTAGACTGTCAGCCAAAGGCCTAGGCTGTGCATTGAAAGCCCCAATGTCGGGTATGAACCTACAATTCCGGTTGTGACAACAGTCATTTCCAAATACATTCATTCGCTGGCAAATACACAGTTAATACACTTTACAATAAATCATGTGAAGCTCTTTAAAATCTTCCGACGACATGGACATGCTATATCTAATGCAAAGATTATTGTTACACAATTCAATAGTTGCATTTAGAAACATTGTCTAACTTGCACTAAACAGTATTTTTTATTAAAAATCAAATTCAGTAATATAGACTATGCCTTGCAATATATTCTAACCATTTTTTCCTAAAATAAGAACACTAATAACTGAAGTTTATTTTTAGAAAAGTAACATTGAATTGCAATACAAAGTGGCTAGAATATAGAGAATATTTATTCTCTCAACGACCAATAGATACTAATAATTTGGAGCATTAATTGGCTTTAGTTAATTGAATGTGGCCTCCACTGCTGCTCTATTGGCTCCCACTTGTACCTCAACATATTCTGCATCTTTGTTACATTTAGCCTTTTTCATCTTCTTCGAACAAGCAAGATCTGGAGCAACGTAGGTCAATTTATTTCCACCTGCGGCTTGCGTGGTCTGTGAAGCCAATTATTTGGATTATCAATAATTTATCTTTTTTCCAACTTTACAAAAATAGCATTAAACATTGATTAACTACTTATTATCTTTATTTTGGAAGGACTTCAAAGGATTTTATTGTGAAATGACTATATATATGTAGGTGAACATAGCAACCGATTTTGCACAGCAATGTCCCATAAACAGCTTTGAAGTGAATGAGAATGTTTTTTTTTTGCAAAATTGGGGAATTGTGGACCAGAACACCATGAAAACAGGCAGACAAAATCTTGTTTTGATGTCTCATCTGAAGGACCGCAGCTTTGTCAATGCAGCACACCTCAGCACTGGAACGTCAGCCTGGAATGTGAGCTCAAAGTCCCCACATGGGGTTTGAATCCACTGTCTTCTAACTGAGGTCTACCAAGTGCGCCAAGCTGAATTATCAAAACTATACAGATTAACCAACCCATTCTGAAACACGTTTTTGCTGTGATTTCTTCTTGTTGATTGAAAACTCTTAAAAAAGAAGGAACACCAAAGTACTTTCTCTGCGGGTGGTGATGATAATAGAATTGCTGCATAACATGGCACCAAATGCAACAACCCATATATTTTATGGGATGCGATCAATACACACATCAATAATTTGTAGCTGCACCTATTATTGCAATTTTACGAAGCTCTTGCTTCTTTATTATTGACCTCTACTACTCCACCGTGGTTACTCACCTGTAGTTGTGCATACTCCGTATTCTTGTTGCTGCATTTAGGTTTCCCGTTTCCCTGTGAGCTGGACAAATCCAGAGTAGCGTATGTCATCTTGTTACTGGCTGCCCCATGCTTGGTCTGTGAAGCGAATATTTGGAATTCAGTTAGTAGACTCTTGTCAATCTTTAAAATTTTCCTTAAAAAGTACCGATGACACCTGACACCATTGTCCCTTCAGCTCAGTTGGTAAATTAACTGCTCAGTGCTAACTGAACTTAACCGCATGAAAAATAAAAACAAATTTGCCTACAAGGTATAGTCTCCACTTTGCCATAAAATTGTAAGTAGCCTTTGATATGTCCTCCGATTGTGAAAGAGGATATATTAAATGCAAAGGTTTTTATAAGAATTATTAATAAAAGTTGAGCATCATCCAAATATGAGTAATGATAGCTGGAAAGAAACGCAGTATCCTTGGATAATATAATAAATAATAATCCTTGCATTTGATATCGTGCCTAATCACGTTTTCAAGATGTCTCAAATTGCTTTACAGAATATACTGTTAAGTGAATTGACTGTATATTTTGTGTGTTAAACACGGCAGCCAATGCGTCCAGCCGTGTCCCACAAACAAAGGTGGATCGAGTGACCACATTATCATTATTATTTGAAGGGATTATTACCCCAGAAAAGTGATCTACCAATCAATTAACTACTGGGTTCCTACCTACCAGCACCTCAGCACCTCCTCCCGACACAAAAGGCACTGTGCAAATGTAATTTTGTGGCTGTTACTGGTAGGTAAATAGGCATGTGGAGTAAGGAAACTTGCCCAATGATGCTCTGTTCAGGAATCAAACCCAGGTCCTCTCGCTTCTGAGGCAAGTACTCTAGCCACAGAGCTATAGGACTCCTTGGGTTGGAGACACATGGGAGAAAACAGTTGATGTTACATTAAGTCTACTGGAAATTGTGTATGAATGTCCGTGAGTTCACAGGATCTTGCAAGATCATAACATTAGTTTGGACGAAAAAGGCCCTTGGGCCCAACAATCTCATCATTCCAGAATACCCTTTTCCCATCAGAGCATCAACTGCTTTTTAACTAAGAGTTGTGTAGTGTAGTGGTTAATACGCTCACCTCAAAAGTGAAAGGACCTGAGTTTGTTTCCTGGGTGGCGCAAAACCTTATATAAGTTACTTTACTCCATACGCCTCTGTTTACCTAGCAGTTAGTAGGAACCCGATCGGTGGATTGCTTCCTGCGGTAATAATCTATCCAAATATAAACAAATATGGTGATTGAATCTACAACTGTTTGTCGGATACTGTTGTCACAATTGGTTGCTACGTTTCGCCCACAATATACAGTCAATTCACTTCACAATTTATTCTATGAAACACTTTGAGACGTATCAATGACGTGATAAGACGCTATATAATTAAAGAATAATATTAAATAATAATAAATTGGTCACTTCAATCCATGACTGCTGGTGAGAAACTGCTGTGCACAATTGGCTGCTGCATTTTGCCCACAAAATATACAATCAATTCACCTTACAGTATATTCTGTAAAGTGTTTTGGGACATCTCAAAGACAGTGATAAGGCGCTATATCAAATGCAAGGATTATTATTATTATTAGTCCAGTGTCCTGGCTTCAATCACTATTCCTGGCAATCTGTTACAATTTATTACTCTTTGAGTAAATTGTACCCATTTAAGCTTACACATAAGGGATGATTTGAATCAATTTGTGAGGGTTGAGGTCACCAACCCATAGCCCCAGTCTAGCACAGAGGAGAATATATACGTTTAGAAGGAAAATACACCATAAACAAGCAGTACACACATGGACTTAAATAATATGAATAATAAGGAAATAACCAAATGTATTCCTACTATATTTACTGCAGAAAAAAATTACATTGGATATAAACGTTCCATATTTAGATTTTGTGTTCTTTATAGTGGTACCTCAGAGTACACTGTCCTCTCCTCTTGATGCTTAGGTCTTCTAGTTTTCTGGGAACCAGTCAAATCCAACGTAGCATAAGACACCATCTCAGTCCTTGCTTCCTAGACCATGTATTAAAAACATATGTAGCATCATGTTTGTTTCCTTGTCTTCACTGGATTGCAACCTATAGCTAAAACACTGAACATAACCTCTGAGGAAATATAAACTTCAGCTTCCCAGTTTAAATTCTTGAGCATATCAATGGCAAACATTTTATAAGGAGATGTACAGTTTTACTATCTATAATTTTATCAACTGCACTCCTTTGTAGTAGGCCACTTCATACTTGTGCAACCTCTTGAAATAATACAGAAATATGGGATAATTATTCAAGGAAAGTATATCTAAAATGCTCTCACTTACTTCTAAAGAACAAATTCTTTTCATCGCAATGATCTTGCTTCACATACCAATTATCTCCTGAATTAAATATGTTAAATTACCTCCTCTTCTGGATGGTCCGATCCATTCACAACTCCATGTGAACCTAAAATTGGAGAAACTAAATATGTACTTAATTTCCACAGTATAAACAAAAAAAATAAAAAAACACATTTACATTTATAACGTTTTGCCCACAACATATACAGTCAGTTCACTTTACTGTATATTCTGGGAAGTGTTTTGCGATGTTTCGAAGATGTGAAAAAGTGCTACATCAAATGCCAGGATTATTATTACTACTATTTGGAGCAGAATTAATGCAAAGGGACTGAATATTATATTTATTCAGCTGGGTGTGTAATGCATGGGGAAACCCATCACCATGCTTAAGAGTATCCAAACCAAACTGAAATTCCAAGCCTCCTACTTATACATGGAAATTTCAGAGATGTTTACTGGAATGAAATTGGTGCTCTCTCCCAGGAGGGATTCATTCTGGTTGCCTAATTCTGCAAAATTTCGGGCGCAGGTTGGTAAGAGCCAAGGCTTGCGACCCCAGAGTGTACGATGGAGGACTAATATGCTAATTGTGGAGTCTTGTAGCTCAGTGGTTAGAGCACTCGCTTTGCAAGCGAGAGACCTGAGTTCAATTCCAAGCACGGCGAAACCTTGAGCAAGTTTCCTTACTCCACATAGAGCCTAATAATAATCCCTCCAAAATCAAAAACAATAATAAATTGGTCATTTTCAATCTACGACTGTTTGCGGGACATTGCTGTGCGCAATTGGCTGCCGCGTTCGCCCACAAATATACAGTCAATTCACTTTACAGTAAATTACAGTAAATTTACACTTTACTGTGAAGCGCTTTGGGACATCCTCCCGACGTAAAAGGCGCTATATCAAATGCAAGGATTATTATTATTAATATTATTAATTGAGTCTAACCAGCTAAAACATCAACGCTTTCCATTGAGAGTACTGCCTGGCAAGCCTTGCTGCTTGTCCATCTGGGACCATCCTTCCCTTATGGCTTCGGCTTAATAATAATAATAATAATCCTTGCATTTGATATAGCGCTTTTCACCAGGCTTGCCTGGTTAACAGGATCTGAGTTGGAAGAATCATTGTCCCCAGTGATTGATATGCCCTTCCAAATTCTGCCGATGAGCCAGTGCGGCTGTGCTGTCAGCAGCAGTGCCCTGGAGTACAGAACTGGTCTACTGAGACCCCAGAGAGGGTCACTCCATCCTGAAATTCCTTTGCCATATTTATCACCTTGTAGCCAGTTCAACTCCAATGAGACCTCGAATCCCCAAAAGGAGGATAGTCACTGACTAGTCATTTGACATTGGACAAGCGCGGGGTTGAGCCCTCAATGGGGAGATAATTATTACATTTCAAAGCCTACAGTGTAAATAAATCATCTAAAAACTTTGAATTCAGGTTTGATACCACATGGCTGTTATGTCTTAACCTATAATGGGTCTTTGTTACTCTTCAACCTAACTTTCTACACAGTGGATCTGCATCTTCACATAGGTTTCCCATTTTTTAAAAAAAATCGTGGTCTTCAATGTAAAGTTTTGCACCGATGGTGGGTTGCATATTAATATTTCTGCCAATATTCAATGCATCAAGATACAATTCGGACATTTGTTGTAAAATAATAATTGATATAAACAGCGAATAATAATTCTCAATAGTAATTGGCACGGTTCAATTTGGGAGAAGCCTCTCACTCAAAGAGATATTGCATTTAACCAAAGTTTCAATTTATCTGAATACAAAGAGAATAATTCTTACCTCTCATTTTCCTTAGTTGGCTTCCCTTAGCAATGATAATGATAAGCACCAGAAATGCCAATCCACCTCCTGCGTATCCAGCAATCAGTAAATAAGGCGACAAAGTATCGCTTCCTAAAAAGATAATTGAACTAAGAAATTAAGTTGCACAATATGGAGCACATCATTCACTTATTTTCCAAGTAATCATCTTTCGTTTAAGTAGTGGAACAATGTACTAGAATGGAATGTTTAATGTAGAAGTGACAATTTATTTTATTGAAAACCATTATTTTTTTCCCATGACTGGGTCTATAGAATGTGGCTTTCCAGCTTAAATAAATTAAACAGCCCGATCTTTCATTCCAATAAGAATATAACTGAACACTAATGGAGATCAATGTGTAATGGATTTGTTAATTATTTTTCAGAGGTGCAGATAGTTGTAGCTAATGTAATATGTTGTCTCCATCCTCATGTACACAAGCTCTACTGAATCTTCATTTCCTTCACTGCCCAGTGCAATGGTAAAGTGAGACGCAGAACTCTTTTGCGCTTCTTTACAGAGGGTCAGATCCTGATACCAGCCCTGACATTAGGGGAATTAACTATTTAGTTTGGAATAAGAACGCAACTAACAGAGACCTGGAAGCAGAAAATATAACAGCAATATCTGGATAAAATATTTGGCGCAAGGAAATCAAGTGGTAAGATACTTTTAAAATATTCTTATTTACTCGCAAGTAAACAGGAAAAATTATCATATGGAAAGTATATAATCCTTCTTCAAATTTTTCATTAATTATAAATCTGTAATTTGAATATTGATTGTATTGTCAAGATGGTCATCCTCCCGAGGTGAAAGCAGGTATATAAACATGTTTTTGGAATTGTGTTTCAAAAATATTTGAAGCGAATTGTATGATTACACTTTGTGATATGAATGGACGCAATGAAGTATTCCTGTTGGAATGCAGTTAAATCTAATTGACAGTAGATTTTGATAACCTACTTATGTCAGGAAGGACAACCGTGTAGTTGGCAATCACTGGAGTCTGTAGGCTGAGATGTGATACCTGACAGGTATAAACAACACCATTCTGGACCGCTTCTATCTCTTCCACAGAGCTGGAAGCTTCATACAATCCATTCGAAATCTGCTGTATCGTAGTATTTACCCCAGTTGCCATTTCGGTGCCATTTTTATACCAAGTGAGGTTGAGATTATCTGGATAAAACCCATCTGTTTCACACACAAGAGTCAGATTCGCAGATCCATTTCTAAGATCCCTGGGGAAAATCTTCACTGAAGTTGGAGACACTGTGGAACAAAAAAAAGAGCAGAATCACATTACTTGAACTCAGTTTTAGAATTAAACTTTATCTGATTTGCGTCCCACTCATTTCTCTACAACACTTTCATTATGGTTTATTTGCATTGCATTCCTGCCGACAAATTACAGAGTCAATCCATTTTACAATATTCTGTCTCAACTACCTGATCAGGCGCTATATCTAATGCAAGGGTCATTATTATTATTCGCTTGTGAGCTTTGAATTAATTGTTTGGTAATTAGCTAATTAGTAGCTCCCAGATAGTCACATGAAAATTGGTTGACAATACAAATCCCTGGAGAAGTAAATACCCATTTTAAACTGAAGCGCTTCATTCATCTGTAGAGATCTGTCGTGGCCCTCCAACGAATGTTAGTTGGATGGTTGAGTAAAGAAAGTACTTAGATTGAATAGTCTAAGATTGAAAATAGTTCTTATTAATTGCAAGAGACTTTTCACGTGGAATATAAACACTGTTGAGAAAGCAGATTCTATCGCCCGACAGAAATACCTTCAGCTGGGATTGCATTTGATGGGAACTCATTAAAGGGTAAAGTTTTGATAATATTTGGCTTTCAATGCTGTCATTGTAACATTAATAATGCCGCATTGTAAAATATTAGACAGAGTAAATCGATGCGTTGAACTTGTGTCACATTCCCATTGTATTTGACCTCAAGCACATAGGTAACAAAAACAATTAAACTTTTTTATTTCTCAAAAAAGCAAATATAAATAGTCTGCATCCTTTGTTAGATTAGTTTGTAAGTACAAAAATCATGACCTGGACTGTACACTTACCACAGACAGTTAGATGTGATCCAGTTCCATTTCCTGCTGTTTTTCCCTCACGGATCAGTGCACAATGATAGACTCCAGTGTCCTTGACTCTCACATCTAGGAGATGGAAGAAGCCCCCGCCTCTTCCATGTTCCAGACCAAAAATTTGCCTTTTGTCTTCTTTTGTTTGCAGATATCCACTCTCCCCGTGCTTCCACCAGTACACGTTTATACGTACATTGGTTGGAGCTACAGCAAAGATGCAGTGGAAGGTGATGTTTGCACCATTATTGGGAGTCTGGAACTTTGGGTATTGGGTCACTACGTTCATATTGTTGCCAATAACTGTTCAAAAGATAAATTCAAACACGGATTGTTTATATTTAAAGAGGAGAGAAACAAATTGGAAAAATATAATGAGAGAGAGAGATACAGAAAGGCAAATATAGAGATTTCTTTACTGTACAATAATGGAAACAAATGTATCCGTATTCTTAAACACAGTTAAGATATAAGGGTATAAAATAAACACAAACCTGTGGAAATTATCTGAATCAGAGACAGAAGCGGAAAAATAGCACTTGGCATCATTCTGCTCACTGACCATGAACCCGTTTGCTCGTCTGAAATATAGGGTTGCGATTGTTGCAACTGAAGTATGCCTCAATGACGTTAAACATCCTGGTTCTGCAGATTCAAAAGACACGGTTCAATTGGTTGGAATTTGTAAAGGTAGTTGTCCACTTAAAGAATAGAATCCAATCCACAAGTCGATGTGCTTAATTAATTGACACCACTCTCAGCTCTGAGTCGGAAGATTGGGGTTCAAGCCGCCTAAATATTCTCTGCTGCCACTTCAGTGCAGTGCCCAGGCTGGTGCATTGTAGGAGGTGTTGTCCTTTTGAATAGAGATTAAACCAATGTCCCATTTGCCTGTCCATGTGTATGTGAGAATATCCCATGATACTATTTGGGCAAGTTTATCCCCAGATCATGGCCAACAATCTCCCAAATAAAAACAAATTTTCCTCAATCCGTGGCCATGATTGGAACATTGCTGTGCACACGTTGGCTGCACTGGGTGACCACAGAATACTCAGTCACATCACCTTACAATATATCCTGTGAGGCGCTTTGAGATGTCTCATCCCCATAATTAGGCTGCATGTCAACTGCAAGAATTATTATTATATTATAATGATGGTGCAATCTCTGAGACACTATCTTGCATGATGGGCAGTAACAAAGGTTTGCAATAAAGTATTTCACAATGACGTTAACCATTCTTAAGAATGCTCGTCTCATCACATGCCAGTGGAAACAGTTTTTCCTGGTTCAACCTATCAAATCCTCTCATGATCTTGAAAACCTCTATTAAATCCCCTCTTAATCTTCTCTGCGCTAGGGAGAATAATCCTAGTTTCGCTAACCTCTCCTGATAACTAAGGTCCTTCATTCCTGGTACCATCCTGGTAAACCTCCTTTACACCCTTTCCAATGCCCTCACATCTTTCCTAAAGCACATCTTTCCAGAACTGAACGCAGTACTCCAACTGAGGCCTAACCAGCATTTTATAAATATTCAACATAACCTCCTGACTTTTGAATTCTATGCTCCTAGTTATAAAACCTAGTATCACGTAAGCATTTTTTTAACAGCTTTATCTACCTGGCCTGCCACCTTCAGATCTCTCTGTTTATTTGTCCCCTTTAAGATTGTACCATCTAGCTTATACTGCCTCTCCCCGTGCTTCCTACCAAAATACAACACTTTGCATTTCTCCACATTAAACCTTATCTGTCACGTTTCTGCCCATTTTACCAATCTGTCTAAGTTCTCTTGGAGTCTGGTGCTATCCTCCTCACAATTAGTTCTTTTCCAAGCTTAGAAGCATCTGCAAATTTGGAAATTGTGCTCCCGATATCCAGGTCCAGATCATTAATATAGATCAGAAAGAGCAGTGGTCCCAATACCTACCACTGAGGGACACCACTTCACACCTCCCTCCAGTCAGAAAAACAACAGTTTACTACCGCTCTCTGCTTTCTGTCTCTGAGCCAGTTCTGGATCCATGTTGCCACAGTTCCTTTAATACCGTGGGATTCTATTTTGTTTATAAATCTCTTATGTGGTACTTTGTAAAATGCCTTTTGAAAATCTAGATAGACTATATCGACTGCACTACCTTCACCCACCCTCTCAGTCACTTCATCAAAAGAATTCTATTAGGTTTGTCAGACACGATCTGCCTTTAACAAATACATGTTGACTGTCCTTTATTAAACCATATTTTTCTATGTGAGAATTTATAATGTCCCGGATTATAATCTCCAGAAGTTTCCCTATAACTGATGTCAGACTGATTGGCCTGTAGCTCTCAGGTTTATCTTTCTGCCCCAGTCTTCTGGTACCACTCCATGGTCCAAAGAGGATTGAAAGATTGTGTCCAGAGCCTCTGCTATTTCCACCCTTGTTTCTCTCAGTAACCTAGGATGCATCCCATCTGACCAGGTGACTTATCTAGGTTGAGCGCTGACAGCCTTTTTAGTACCTCCTCTCTGTTGATTGTTACCATATCCAATTTCTCTTCGCACGTCTGCGATATTGTGGCATTGGTTGCGTCATCTTCTTTTGTGAAGACAGTTGCAAAGTACTTATTTAGTACAACATCCATGCCTCTGCCTCAACAAGAAGATTTCCACTACGGTCCCTAATTGGACCCACCTACCTCTGACTAACCTTTTTCTCTTGATATGCTGATACAGTGGAGTCCTGTAGCTCAGTGGTTAGAGCACTCGCTTTGCAAGTGAGAGACCTGAGTTCAATTCCAGACAGGGCGAAACCTTGGGCAAGTTTCCTTACTCCACACGCCTAATAATAATCCCTCCAAAATCCAAAAACAATAATAAATTGGTCATTTCCAATCTACGACTGTTTGTGGGACATTGCTGTGCGCAATTGGCTGCCGCGTTCGCCCACAAATATACAGTCAATTCACTTTACAGTCTATTCTGTGAAGCGCTTTGGGACGTCCTCCCGACGTGAAAAGCGCTATATCAAATGCAAGGATTATTATTACCTTAGGGTTCCCGTTTATGTTTCCTGCTAATCTTTTCTCATGCAATCTCTTCATCCCTCTTATTTCCCGTTTCACTTCTCCTCTATACTTTCTATATTCTATTTGATTATCCTGTGCGTTTTGGACCTGACATTTGTCATAGGCCTCCTTTTTCTGTTTTATTTTAATCCTAATTTCCTTAGCCATTCAGGGATACTGTCCTACCTTTCCCCTTTGTGGGAATGTATTTGCTCTGTCCCCAAAGTATCTCCTCCTTGAAGGCTTCCCACTGTTTGTTTGCTGTCTTACCTGCCAATCTTTCTTTCCAATCTATCTTGGCCAGGTCACCTTTCAGCTCACTGAAATCAGCCCGCTTCCAGTTGAGGGTCTTCACCTTTGATTGATTGTTGCCCTTTTCCATAACTATTCTAAACCTAATGATATTGTGATCACTGTTATCCAGATGCTCTATTACTGAAACCTGCTCCACTTGCCACACTTCATTTTCCAGAACTAAATCCAGCACTGCTTCCTTCCTCGTTGGGCTGGAAACATGCTGATCCAGAAAGTTCTCCTGCACACATTTCAGGAATTCCTCCCTTTCCTTGCCCTTTACTCTGTGTGTTCCCAGTCTATGTTAGGATAATTGAAGAACCCATTATCACTATTCTATTGGTTTTGCATCTCTCCAAAATCTGCTTGCAGGTTTGCTCATCTATCTCCTTCCCACTATTTGGAGGTCTATAGTAAATACCTAAAAGAGTAACAGCTCATCTACTGCTCCTTAACTAACCAAATAGATTCAGTTTTTGGAACCTCTAACACATCGTCCTTTTCCAGGACCATGACCCTAATGAGTATTGCCACCCCTCCTCTTTTTTTCTCTTCCTCATCCCTCCTGTAAAGTTTGTAGCCAGGAATATTCAGCTCCCATTCCTGTCCTTGTTTGAGCCAAGTCTCCATAATTGCCACAACATCATAGCCCCATGTGGCAACTTGAGCCTGCAGATCACCAAGCTTATTGGTCACGCTCCATGCATTTACACACATGCACTCCAAGTCCGGCTTAATCCGCTCTACATTTCTCCCCCGTCTCTTTCCACTTTTTGCTGAACTCTTCCTTGTTTCATTTCTATTTGTCTCTCCTCATCCACTATGTAACTTGTTTCCTCTCCCTGATGCTACATTCTGATCCCCATCCCCCACAAAATCAGTTTAAATGCTTCCCCACAGCATTTGTTATCTTTGCTGCAATGATGTTATTCCCAGCCCTGCTCAGGTGTAACCCATCCCTCGTATACAGTTCCGATCTGCCCCAGAAGTGGTTGCAGTGGTTTAGAAACTGAAGTCCTACTTCCTGCACCATTTCTCCAGCCAGGCATTCATGTGTTTGATCCTCCTGGTTTGGTATTCATTTGCATAAGGCATTGGGAGTGATCCCAAGATCACCACCATTGGGGTCCTGCTCTTTAGCTTCTTCCCAAGCTTTTAGTATTCTCCCTGTAGAGTCTTAGCCCTTTTATCACGTACATCATGGATCCCAACATGTACCACAACTTCCGCATTTTCCCTTCCCCCGTAGTATATTTTCCACCCAATCCATGACATCATGCACGCTGGCTCCAGGGAGGCAGCATACCATGCTCGAGTACTGTCTTTTATGGTAGAAATACCTGTCTATCCCTTTAACTGTTTGTCTCCCCGATAACAACAGTGGTGGCATTTTTCCCATTGTCCCCCTGAACATCTATTACCTTTTGATTCTTCTCGCCAGAGGTGTCCTCACCAGTATCCAGTACCGAGAACCGGTTTGTGAGTGCCGCACTCTTAGGGGATTTCGGGACTGCCTCTTCTTTTTTTGCTCCACATAGGATGGTCACCACTCACCATTCTTCTGAGTCCTCTGTGTAGCTGGGGTGACCACCTCCTGAACTCTCTGTGGCTGTGGGGTGACCACCTCCTGAACTCTCTGTGGCTGTGGGGTGACCATCTCCTGAAAAGTTTGAACCATAAATTCTTCAGCCTGCCGTATGCTATACAGTGTCTGTAGCCTCTCCTCAAGCTCAGCGACCCTGACCTCATGCTCAACCAGCCGGAGGCACTTCCTCCACACATGTTTGTCCAGAACACGTGAACCATCCTGGAGTTCCCACATGGTACACGGTGTGCATGGAATAGGTCTCAGCTGCCTGCCAGATATTCAGACATGTTTTGTACTATATCTCAACCGTTTCAGTGCAAATAGGTTAAAACAAGTAATTTCACATCTTTTGTTCCCTTGCTCACACTCCTTATATACTAAACACATATTCAACAATAACAACAACAAAATTACATTTATAGCGCGTTTCACATCGGGAGGAGGCCGGAGGAAGCGGGCAGGTTGGTAAGGAGTCAGAAGGTCAGAGAGGTAGGAGGGGAAAAGGCCATAGATGTCCTTAAAGGTGAGATTGAGGATATTGAACTTGATCCTCTGGGGAATGAAGCCAGTGGAGTCGGGTGAGTGATGGAGCCTGGCATGGAGTGCACGAGCTGCAGAGTTTTGGATGATCTGCAGCTTGTGAAAGGAAGAGTTGGGTCGGCCAATGAGGAGGGAGTTCCCGTAATCGAGCCTTGATGAATGTGTGGGTGAGGGTTTCGGCAGCCTGAGGGGTAAGTCAGTTGCGAAGTCTGGCAATGTTGTGGAGTTGGTGGTAGGCAGTGCCGATCGTGACGCGGACGTGGGGCAGAAAGGACAGTTCAGGGTCAAACAAGATACCCAGGTTCCTGACTGGCTTAGTGAGGTTGAGTGTACAGCCATGGAGGCTGATGCTGCCAGCTCCTGAGGTGTGGAGATGCTGGCACGAGACGATCAGGAGGGCCTCGGTCTTGCTGACTTAGAGTTGGAGAAAGTTGTTCCTCGTCCAGGATTTGATATTGGACAGGAGGCTGGTCAGGCTGCCAGTAGTCCTGAAGTTCAGGGTGGAGGCAGAGGTAGAGTTAGGTGTCCGCATATATGTGGAAATTTACCCCCTAGGGCAAATGACGGCCTGGATTTGAGGGCCACACCATCATGATGGTTGAGGCATGGTGGTAGGTGTAGCTGGGTGGTGTGGCCTCAGTGAGGGGGAAGGTGTCACCTGGGATGATCCAGGTTTCAGTGAGGGCCATACTGTCAATGTGCTCATCGAAGATGAATTAATTGATGACCAGGTTCTTGTTGGAGAAGGAGCAGACATTTTGAAGACCAATACGGAGTGGATAGTTGGCAGGGAGATGGGATGGGTAGTGGGTCGGTTGGCAGGGAGGGTGGAGATGCAGATGAGGAAGGAAAGGTTACCCCCGTGGTCTGGTTCTGGGGTGGCTTGTGGCGGTAATGGGGATGGGGCAGCTACCGCCACAGCAATGTGATCTTTTGTGCAGGCTCTTGGGGGTTTTGTCTCTCCTTTACAAGTTCTCACCTGTACCGAATTCCCCCTCTGCACCAAAATCTCACTCTCATCTAATTCCAAAACAGAATTCTCACTCTGTTCCCTTCTCACTCTGTTCTATTCAAGATCCTCCTCCTCACACGTAAGGCCTGCCCCCTCCTATCTCTCTGACATGCTCTCCCTGCCAGCCTGCCCACTCCCTCCATTCAGCAGGCTCCAGCCTGCTCCATGTCTCCCACACAACCCACCCTACCATCAGTGGCTGGGCTTTCAGCCTCTCTGTCCTCCACTCTGGAACTCCATCCCACGGTGCCTTCGCCTCACTTCCTCCCTTGCCTCCTTCAAGACCGGTCTCAACACCCTTATCTTCAATCATGCCTTACACCTCTCTGCCTTCCCTCACCCCTAAACCATCCCTCCCCCATGCACAGGCTCCAACACCTAACTGTTCAGCACTTTGGGACATCCTCCCAATGTGAAAGGCGCTCATCATCATTGTTGCTTTTCCCCCTTCCTCACACTCCTGGGCTCTCTGGCCAAGTATGACTCTCACAATTCTTCCCCTTTATATAGGACTCAAACAAAAACACTCAGGTCAGGACTGGTCAGCAATTGGCCTGTAATTAATTGCTAATTGACTTGTTTACCTGCTTCCATGTAAGGTTGCCCCTACCTCAGGAAAGATTTTCTGCTCTTTGGCTGAATGAAAGTTCTCTCTTGCTCTCTGGCAACTTTCTTGCTCCCTGGTAGTTCTCTTGCTCTCTGGTAGCTCTCTTGCTGAAGGATTCCCACTCTCACCTAATTCCCAAACAGAATTCTCACTCTGTTCCTCCTCAGTACGTTCCCAGGCTCTCTGCATTTGACAAATAATGCTTCAAAGAAATTAAACCAAATAAAACAGCAATATTTGGGAAACATTACTGCGTTCAATTTGGCTGTGGCATCTTTCTACAAATTAGTCTTACATGTTGTAGTGTATCAAGTGAAACCCCTTAAGTCATCTTGCCGATGGATGCCACTGTGTTATATATAACGATAACTTTTAGTATAAAAATAGCTGAAAGGCAAACGTTCTTTGTGAGTTACACCCAATATGTGCAGAGACATCTTCTCGTTCCTTTAGAATGGGAAAGGAATTTTCCAGATGAATTTTGCCCTGATTCGCCTTGTTTTTACACCAACCCCAGCTCAATGGGTTTGGTGTATATTGCCAGGGTTGTATTTCTTCTGCAGTATAATTGATGTTACTCTTGGCCTATTTCGGTCCTTCTTGTTAACTATACAGCAATCTAACCATGATTCGTTTGATTAAAATAATCCTTCCTCCCTCCCTCGCTTCCTCCCTCGAGGCACAGTTCAAACATACCTCTTTAAACATGATGTTGGTCATGTTTCTCCTTCAGCTGCCCCTCTCGACTCCCACTACATCTTTCCTCCTTCCTGAGCCCCTCGACTTTCACCTTGCTACGGATGCCCATTCAATATTTTCAAACACTTTGAGATGTCCTCCCGATCTGAAAAATGCTATATAAGTGTAAATTGTATTGTAGTATCTTTCAAGTCAGAAGGACATCTGAGAGGGCTTTACAGAATAGACTGTGGTGATTGTGTATTTTGCAGCAAACATGCTCTTGCGCGAACCTCTTGAAGATGTTTCTGTTGCAAGCAAATCCTGTTAAAGTTTTGTGGGCTATCTATTTTCCTAACAGTTTCTCCTTTACTGTTATCTACTATACGCAACCATGTAGTCGTTCTTTTTAGTTATGCAATGAAATTGCCATAAAAGTTTTCTCATAATCACGTTTCATATGAAGCCAGAAGTGTTTCAAAATGATTCATTAACATCAAAATCACAATATTTTATTAAAAGCAAATCAAGAAATTTTATGCCAGCATGATTTCTGCTTTAAATTCTACAATACATTACTCAAACTCCACAGACATTTGCAGAATGATACATCTCTTTAGTCATTTAGCATCTATTAGCAGACATTCGCAACAGAAAATTGATTTCATGCAATGTAAATTCAACTCGTGCTAGTAGAAAATTATGCAATTTTGCAAAGCTATATTGGTACTTTTTATTCTTCACTTTTAACAAATCCACAGCAGTAACTGATTCATCAGTTGTTAACTTACATGTGCAGGTGAAGTTACAACAGGTACAATATTTGTTTATTTATATGTTAAACATGACACATTTGTTTGTAGATAAACTGCAGCATTATAACCATTGCCATTATACAATAATTGGTCTCATTGTATTCCGCTTTGTTTCTCAGTTGCATTCGGAAAAATGCACTCTGCACAGCCCATGGAATGTTCTAGATTCCTTACATGGGGCCCAAATTACATTGTGGTTGTTAATTAAAAAAATGGTGGTAGAATTTATGTATTATCTGAAGTAATGTGTTGCTGCGCATGATAAATTACGAAGGATTAAAACCTTTCCGACAGAAAAAAAGGCCAACCATCACATATAATCACTAACTGTACTATGTTAAACACAAAATAATAATGGTCCTGAAAGTTATTGGCAAAATCTCATACTTCATGTGTTACTTATCACCTTCATTGTTATTCAATACTCTCCCCCACCGCCCCAATCATGTGCAATGCTTGTGTTACAAATGATACCTTACTTTTTAAGGGGAAGTATTTTTCATCCTTGAATATATGAACTAATTAAAATGCTATGTACTTGTTCAATGTCCATAAGTACTTCTCAATTTCATGTTGAAAGACTGCACAGTCGATACATCTTAAATGGGTTTCAAGATTTGTTGAGATTTCCGATTGTAAGGAGACACTTCACTATACGATGATTGTCCTTCATCTGTCAGTATGCCCTGTGGGACTGAAAAACAGTATGATTAGTAGGTTTATTGCTTAAATGTTTTGCTTTGCCCCGTTAGGTAATATGTTTAAAGAAATAATGTAATTTTTGCTTTATCAAGTATTTTTGAACACAAGGTTATTTTCTTAACTAATGTCCCTCAGATGGGTGGGAGCACTATTCTTCGTTTTGAATTCATAACTAATAGTGCAGTACATTATTACTCCTCAGTATTACTGCCTCAAAATAAACAAATTCAAAACAAAACCTCTCTTTTGAAAAGGATGGTTGAAACAGAGAAAATAGGCCTTGAACTGTGTCCTATTTATTAACAAGGTCATTTTATAATTCCATCACCTCAGGTGTCACTTATCCAAAATCAAACATGCAGAAATGAAAAGAAAACTGAAAATGGGAATAGTTTGTGGAATTAGGTGAGCAAAATAAATCACTTCGGAGACCATGTGCTCAATTCCAGACATGGAGAAATTACTATGTCTAGGTAGCTTTCATATGTGGAAGGCTTAGTCTGGTTTGGATACTCTTATTATGGTGATGAGTTTCTGTGTGTTAAACACCAGGGTTGATCAAAAAAAATCTCATTCTGGGACTTATTTTAGCCCTGAAACTCTGGACCACTCTCTCTCAATCCCTCAGCCTTGCCCCTCTCACCCATTATTCAAGTCCTGCATGAAAACCTACCTCTTCGACTATGCTTATGACCAAACCACTCCCCCACCCTCCCAGATCAGATTCAGGCTCCGCCACTGTTGTTGTTATTCTGGGCATTGTAATTACTTTTAAGTTAAGATAAAAGTGGTTGAAAAGAAAGGATTTCCTTACCTTTAAAGGGAGGTAATTCTGAAATGGTCCACAGTGACGATGACCAAGAGCAATATAACACAAATGCATAATGCGAACCGGCAAATTGCAAATTCATAGAGTTTGCCATCAACGCCTGTGAAATGTGAAGAGAGGCATTAGGCTGTGCTTTCATTCTGAAGTTATTTAACTGAAACACAGTCAATATTTAATAAGTGAGGAGCCACCTGAATGCATGGTCCATTATGGACTTCACAATCATCGTTTTGCCCACAAATATACGGTCAATTCACTTTACAATATATTCTGTGAAGCGCTTTGAGAAGTCTAGAAGACATGAAAAGTGCTATATCAGATGCAAGGATTATTATTATTATTATCGTAAAGTGAAACTGCCTTCTCCTTTCAGATAATGGCATGGGACCTCGGATCTGAGGCACTGAACCTCTGACTTTGCATCAGCCCCCACATACTCTCTTGGAGTGTCAGTCTGGACGATGAACTGCTGAGTAACTCTGTGTTTCAAAGAACGCTATTTATTTATTGTAATGTGCTCATCTTTCTCCCAGCCTAACTTTAACTCTGATGATATTAATAATAATAATAAAATTTGCATTTACTATAGTGCCTTTCAGGGCAGCGGGAATCCCAAATTGCTTCATATGATTTATTATGAAATGAATTGACTGTGTAATTGGAGGCGAATGCTGCATCCCAATTATGCCTATCAATGTCCCATAAACAACTAGGAAACAAGTGACCAATCTTATTTAAGGTCTTACTGGGGTGCCTGGGAGACTTGGAGGAACTCGCTTCTATTTTTCAGAACTTTAATACCGTTGGATCTCTAACGTCCACATCAACATGCAGACGAGTCCTCAGTTTAAGGTCTGCATATGCGCTACACTGCCTCTAGCAATGCAAAACACCGCCATCTCTGCATGGAAGGTGTGGTTTAAACCTGTTGACTCAGAACTGAGAGCGCTACCAATTGAACAAGGCTGTGATAAACTGTAACTGGGAGATCGTTTTCTTAGTGAAAACCCAAGCGGTATCACAGTTTTAATGTCTCTTTCTTGCACATTTTGAAAATAATGATAAATTCAGCAATGACTCTATAATACATCTCATACCATAGATCATGTACTAACAAGCAAAAATTAAATATACTTCTGAATTTACACGGTTGCTGAATTATTGTGCTGAGATATTTAGAAGAATGCCAAACTTTCAATTTGCTGAAATTATTTCAGATTCTGTACCACTTCAGTAATTTAACCAATGCTATATTCACATTAAACAACAACAACAACAAGATTCCATTTATAAAGCGCCTTTCACGTCGGGAGGACGTCCCGAGGCGCTGTACAGTTGGGTCAGGACCCGAGCAGAGGAGAAATGGTCAGGGTGAGGGGAGGGAAGGGAGGGAGGGAGCGAGGAGGGGGTAGAGGCTCGAGAGGGGAGCTGAAGGCACAGTCAAAGAGAAAGGTCTTGAGACCGGCCTTGAAGGAGGAAAGGAAGGAAGCGGCGAAGGCACTGGGGGATAGAGTTCCAGAGCCTGGGCTGAGAGGCTGAAGGCCCGGCCACCGATGGTAAGGCAGTTGGGGCGGGGGATGTGGAGCAGACCGGAGCCAGAGGAACAGCACCTCTTTCACGACCTAATTTGCATTTAAACCGCAAGACACCACAACATATATTTCTGATGTACATGTGGGTCACGTAGTGCACATCGTTATTTTATCATTTCAGACATCCTTGGGTTTGAAGGTTCGGTCAGTCTGTTGAAGCCAAAGACAAAAGATGCGTCCAGAAAAGATAACAAGACAAAATAAGAAGGCTAGAAGTCCATATCAGAGAACCCCAAATCACTTCTATTTTTTGATTAATAGCTAATTTACTTATTTTACTTACTATGGCAAAAAGTCTTCGCATTGATTCAATAAGGAGTATCATAACAGGCAATGATGTTATGCTCAGATATCAATCTCGTGAAAGTATTGGAGTTCAAGGGCAGCAGGGGATCTTTTCTTGTTTGGTGAACAAAGCGGGCATTGAATCTTTTATAGCTGTGTCCTTGTATCATCCAACTCTGTTCTTTCTTCTTCCGATGTTAGTGAGAATCTTGGACATTCTAACGGCTTGAGTTACTGAACCTCAGATGGGAATTCTGCCTGGGAGTAGCGAGAGATGTACTTGCTCCCACACCAAGTCAAATTGAGGACTCGACCTGACACGTTTTAACTCTACTGAACTTCTTTTTATCATGGTTCCCTTTTTGAACATCAGCTCAGGTTTGCAAGTCCTCACCAACCTGATTGTTATCTGATTAATCAGTCTGTGCCAAACCCTGGGCACCCTTGGGCTGACTCTGATTAAGCTGATTTGTAGAATTATAATCTTGATTACGAATGTTGTTTTGATATTGTCTAACAAAGCTGGACCGCACATCAACAATTAACAGAACAAATTACAGCTGTATACTTCTTTCTTCTTGACTATTTTAACTATTCAAGGCACACCATACTGAGATTTTCTTATCTAGAATGATTCTAGTCATGCCATAACACTTGTCACGCTTAAGTAGATTTTTTGCAACTCATCTCAAGGTAAGTAAAACAATATTCTCTGCAAGTCATCTGGATATCGTACAGAGCATACAGCCTTCATCTAATCAATATCAATGCAACATTCATAATCAAAAGACTGTAATTCAACAAATCAGCTTGAAATAATCTTACCTAACCTAGCAATGCGATAATTCACTTCTAATCACAACAGTTCTGATCAAAAGTATACCTAACTTATCCAACACAATAATTCATATTTTATCTAAATATCTTTCTAAAGGAATACAGTACAATAATTCAATTCTGATGACAATGCTGGCCATTTTAAGAATAAATAATAATAATCCTTGCATTTGATATAGCACTTTTCACGTCTTCGAGACATCTCAAAGCGCTTCACAGAATGTATTGTAAAGTGAATTGACTGTATGTTTATGGGCTAAACGCTGCAGGCAGTTGCACACAGCAGTGACCAACAAACAGTCATGGATTGAAGTGACCAATTTTTTTTTCTTGAGGGATTATTATCATGTGCGTGGAGTCGCCCAATGTTTTGCACTGCCGAAAATCGAACCCAGGTCTCTCACTTGCAGAGCGAGTGCTCTAACAACTGAGCTACAGCACACCTACACGTCAGGAAACGATTTCCACAACACTACGTTCCAACCAATGAATCTAAATTTAGTGATTGTATTGCTAAAGATATTGCATCTTTGTTAAACCGGAAAAAACATCGACCTTGTTTATTGTGGCAATACTTTGCAGAAATGTTTCAGTAAAAAACCGTAATGTAATCTTACCTTCATTGTACAACAGACTTGTCCGTGAAGTGATTCTAAAATGTATATATTTTTGTTGATAAACATGAGGCACGCCACAGCATCAATATTCAAATACGTATACTTTATATAATGATAGCATGTTTTCAATACATCAATAGTGTACCTATAATTTCCAACACGGATTAATACTAGACACCAACCCCGTCACAACTTACCTATCATATAATAATTCTAAGATTGTTGGCGACCTACCTGTGTGAGGAAGCAAAACCGTATAGTTGGCAATCCCTGGATTCTGGAGGCTGACGTGAGATACCAAACAGGTATAAACATCTCCACTCTGAACAGGCTGTGTCTCCTCCAAATAACTGTGAGCTTTAAACAATTGCCCGGGATTCCTCTGCTCAGTGATAGTATTCACTGTTGTAATTTCTATGCCATTTTTATACCAAGTGAGGTTGAGATTCTCCGGGAAAAACTCAGCCGTTTCACACACAAGAGTCAGAAATACAGACAGATTTCTTTCGGGATCCATGCGGGAAATCGCCAGTGGGGTTGGGGGAACTGTAGAACAGATAAAGGGGTAGAATCATGATGTTACTTTGGGGGAATAAACCTTATTCTGATTTCTATTTCCAATTCTCTGACGGTCGAGAAGACTTGGAAGATTGTAAATTGTCGGAAATCGTTATGGCGTTTGGGGGGATGTTGATGTGCACATATCGGTGCCCTATTTGCCTACAAATATAATTATGAAGCCTTTGGAGACTGTCCAGGACGTGATTCTACGCCATATCAATTGCAGTGACTATTATTGCTATTTAACTCACCAATGCAGCCCTGGGGAGGCTGATTTTTGGTGGGGATATCAACATCGAGGACACATTGAATCTGCCTCTTTGTGCATGCGTAAGTTCCCACAGCATTTTTGGAAAAGACAAGGGATTTCTCCCCGGGTCCGGCCAAGAATTCCCAGATAAAAATTGGTCATCTATGTCATAAATATTTTTGGAACTTTGTTGTTTGACAATTGGGTGCCGGCTTCGCGTACAAAAGCCACTCAATTTTACAACAATACATGTCGATGTGAAATGAGTAGAAATATATCAAACGTATTATTATTATTATCATGAATAATACAAATGCGCCAATATCTTCCATAAAATTCGCAAGAATGGGCTAACTACTGATTGCAGGCGATTAAATTGCATTTATCTTGTGGATAGTTTGAATTAAATTATCTATATTTTAAACTGGAAAAATAATTGTGCACATTAAGAATCTTAAACTTTTAGAAATCAGTAGTGGGGTACCGAAAGGTTACTGCTGAAATAAACTGAACAGTGAGAAATTACATTCCTGCCAGCACGAGCAAATTCTAAAATCGTTTCTGATTATAAATGTGTGTATTTGGTGTAGTTAAGTTGAAAAGGGACGGACTTATATTACATTAATGATCAGAGTTGTCAAATCATAAAACATGATCGATATTATTATATGAGGGTGAATTTAGGTGGGTGGCAGTTTGAATTACACACAATTTAAAATAATAATATTTTTTATTCAGATTTTGCAGCGTAACTATATTTCTTTCCCCAGAGAGGGAACATTACCATTAATTTGCAGATAATGACACTGAAGAACACCACTGTAAATGTAACAAAAACAATATAAAAGATTCTGAAACATTTGTTTACGGGATATTTCAACATAGGAACAGTCTCTATATCCATATCATTCACTTACCGTACACGATTAAACGCGATCCATTTCCTTTTCCTACTTTTTTCCCCTCTAACACCAGTTCGCAGTGATAGACTGCAGCATCCTGAATATTCACATCCAGAAACTGGAAGAAGCGATTTCCTTTACTTTTAACTCCAAACCGTTTCCTGCTGTCCTCTTGTGTGTGCAGGTATGTCGTCTCTCCCTGCTTCCTCCAGTACACTTGGATACGTGAAGAGTGTACAGAGAATGGATAGCCGCAGTAGAAGGTGATGTTTGTTCGTCTGTTTGCCGTCAAACATTCAGGGAATTGAGTAATTTTAACGGAAGTATCACCAAAAACTATCAAAAATGAAATATTGATGTATATGGACAAGTGGGTAGGAAAGCAAAAAAAAATTAAATTAGACAAAGATACATACAGACACACTGAGAGTATATCAGTAAACTCCTTCAAGACCCGTCTCAAGACCCATTCTTCGATCACACTCCTTCTCCCCCTGCACTCCACACTCCCCGATCTTGACCCCCAGCTCAGGTGTGAAACATTGACTTGACTCCAGCGACTTGAGAAAGGCGCTATACAAATGTAATTTTATTGTTATTGTAAACTGGAGTGTTTAAACTGAAACTACTCAATCTACTTTCATTGCTAAATAAACGGGATGATAGAGTAATCTCTTACCCGTGGAAATAATCACCAGGACACACAGGAAAAGCAAAGGACTCAACATAATTTTCATCACCTGGTGCGACTGATCTGAAGCTGTTGCTGGTCTGTAACATATGCAGATTGATATGATGTACATCTTGTGACGTTTGACTCCCTCTTTAGGAATCGCCAATTGATTAGTAGGCAGTTGCCATTTACTCCGAAACAATAGCTTAGAATTGTTTCGGCAAAAGCAAAAGAGATATGTAGGGAAAACGCTGAAAGATGATGAAATGTATCCGAAGTTCAGGTTTAAAAATAACCATTGCTTCTTGAACCAGCATGTTGCTTAATGCACTAAAGGAAGTTGTTCCCCAATGTAGATTAACTACTACTAATCTACTAACCTTACAGTTCCTTCTTCATACTTGACTGTACCCTTATTACACACAATAAAACCAAAAGTCAAACCTACTATTAGTTACCGTATACTATTTAATCAGTCGATTTTTAAGATATTGTATTTTATTAAATAAGGATGTATTAATTAATAATTATTAATTAATCAATTAATAATTATTCATCTACTAATTATTAATTAGTTAATTATTAATTATTAATAATTTATCTATATTTTAAACTGGAAAAATAATTGTACACATTAAGAACCTTAAACTTTTAGAAATCAGTAGTGGGGTACCGAAAGGTTACTGCTGAAATAAACTGAACAGTGAGAAATCACATTCCTTCCAGCACGAGCAAATTCTAAAATCGTTTCAGATTATAAATGTGTGTATTTGGTGTAGTTAAGTTGAAAAGGGACGGACTTATATTACATTAATGATCAGAGTTGTCAAATCATAAAACATGATCGATATTATTATATGAGGGTGAATTTAGGTGGGTGGCAGTTTGAATTACGCACAATTTAAAATAATAATATTTTTTATTCAGATTTCGCAGCGTAACTATATTTCTTTTTTTTTTCTTTTTTAAAAATAACCATTGCTTCTTGAACCAGCATGTTGCTTAATGCACTGAAGGAAGTTGTTCCCCAATGTAGAGAAACTACTACTAATCTACTAACCTTACAGTTCCTTCTTCATACTTGACTGTACCCTTATTACACAGAATAAAACCAAAAGTCAAACCTACTATTAGTTACCGTATACTATTTAATCAGTCGATTTTTAAGATATTGTATTTTATTAAATAAGGATGTATTAATAATAATCCTTTCATTTGACATAGAACCTTATCACATCTTCGAGAAGTCCTGAATCTCTTTACATAATGTACTGTAGAGTGAATTGACTGCATAATTTGTGAGTGAAATGCAGCAGGAAATTGCATTTCACATTTCATGAGGTGAAGTGCAAGATCAACACTGTTTACATACATTCTACTTTTTATCTAAACTATGCAGAACTGCATTATTCATCATAAATCATCTCTTCAAGCACGTCGATCATGCCCGAAAATGTGCACAATCTGATATATCAGTAGTTCACGCGGAGACTGCATATTTCTCCCACGGAAGGTTGGTGCAGGAAGCTATTCATTGTGGAGAGTATTGTGTCAGCCCGGTTCAGTTAGAGGCAGTGTCGCCTCTGAATCAGTGAGTTCTAAATTTGTGACCACCACATAAGAACTCAGAGTTCACAGTCTAGATAGGCAAGAGCAATCTATTACAATAAATTGTTCTTGATTTCACAATATTGCTACAATGCTGAGATTTGTAGATCAGTTACAACTGTTCACATTTGTGAAAACATGCATTTGCTGCTTGACATTTACTCCAAATCTTTTGGCATGTACTTCATAGAAGTACACAATGTTATTTTGGAAAATATTAATTATATGCCCAAACCTGTAGCACCTGGGCATTGTAGAAGCAGTAATTTAAGGAATTTATCCGCTGCTGCTTTTTATGGATCTATTCACTCCAAAATACATTTCCAGTTTGCCTGAATGTGAACGGTACAAATAAAGACGATTTAGCAATTAAGAAGACTTAACAATTGACTCACTATTGATTTATGGTATAGTTTTGCATTGAATCATGAGGTGAATGAGGAGTTTTTATGTTTTGGCAACGTCACCATATCTATCTGTTTCACTTTGTGCAGCTTGGAAGGAAGCCATTCAATTAGTCATGGAGTCTATTTATATTTAGAGTTAGAAACAAATTCTGAATTTCAGTCCTATCAGTTGTGGTAAACGAATTTTGCTATTTTTTGTTGCCAAGAAAGTTACTACATAAACACAAATAAACAATTTGCAGAACAGTGGAAGTATTAGTGTAGCAAAATTGGAAACAAAGGCTTTGGATATCAGAGAGGGCCAGAGCCGGTGTGCAACAAAGGGGTGATCAAGCCCCCAGAGGTCGCTCTTTCTCTCTCACTCTCTTGTTTTCTTTCTGCTGTTTTAGGAATCCCTCGAAAAAACCAAAAACAATAATAAAAAAAATTGGTCATTTTCAATCTACGACTGTTTGTAGGACATTGCTGTGCGCAATTGGCTGCCGCGTTCGCCCACAAATATACAGTCAATTCACTTTACAGTGTGTTCTGTGAAGCACTTTGGTACGTCCTCCCGACGTGAAAAGCACTATATCAAATGCAAGTATTATTATTATTATTATTATTAAGCAGACCAAAGGCTAAGCCGAAGTAAAAGTTCCATTTCGGAGTAGATTGAAATAAACACTAAAAAGGTATCACAATCCCATGTGTTTAATCTGTCTGTGTTGGCCTTGGTTCAGAGTTGAACTGCTAGTTGGGTAACACTCAGTGATGGTTGTTGGACCCGAGAGTGTGATAAGTACATTAACGGGCACGAGCGGTGATCATTAAATTTCATTCCAATGACTTTTGTTTTTACAGTTGTCTACTAATATTATCCGCTTTTCCGAGCATAAAGTTGTCAATGTATTAAGCATTGCAAGCGTTATATTTTCTGTAATTATTTCACTTTAAATAAGTGCAGTATGTCATAATATATTCCTTATTCTTGTCATTATATTGCTGTTTTTTGAACCAGGCAAATCTACAACAACAATTTGCATTATATAGCACCCTTCATATAGGGCAGCATCTCGGAGCGCTTAAACATGTTGAAGCCTGACGCTGAGCATGGTGGTGGGGGGGGGGGTTAACTTTATGCAAAGTCGAAGAGAAAGGTCTTCAGTTGTGATCTAAAAGAGCGGAAGGAGGGGGTAAGATGGACAGAAGCTAGGGCTGGTGTGATTGGGGTACAGAATTTAGTATGAATGGATTTTGATTGAGGCTTTCCCTTGCATTGCAAACTTGGATTATAGCTTCCTCTTGGCAACATCATCCACAGAAATGGGGTTATCTTCCAGAGTTATGCAAATGACACCTAAATCTACTTTTCTACTTCCAATAGCAATACCAGGCCCACTAATGTGCTGTCTGTCTGCTGATTAGACATTAAGGTCTGGATGAGCACCAACCCTCTGCAACTCAACATGGACAAGATGGAAGCAAACTTCCTTAGTTCCCTTGGTTCTGACTGCCTTAGCCTCCACGCCTATTCCTCAAACTCACCAAACGAGTCCTCAACCTTGACATCTGGTTCCATTCTCAGGTGTCCTTCCTAATTCATATTCATTCCCTAATCAAGGCTGCTTTACTTCATTTCCATCAAATTGACGGCATCTGCTTCTACTTCATACTGGAATTCAACAGCAAAATTCTGAACCATGCTTTGTATCTCCGTCTTGGACTTCTCAAATGTATTTCTCGCTGATCTCCTCAGTTTCACCATCCACAAGGTTCAACTAATCCAGAATTCCACCACTCCTAACTGCACAAGTACTAAACTATTGCATGTCACTCAAATCCTCACGAAGCTCAATGTCTCAATGTCTTCGAACAGATCAACTTCAAGTCCTCACCCTCATATATGAGGCTTTTCGCACTCTTTTGAATCATATATTGTAAGGTAGTTATGTTGTGGCTGTTTTGTGGGTGAACATGGATTTCAATTTGTACACTGCCATGTCCCACACACAGGAATGGATTGACCAATTTTATTGAGGAGCTTGTTGGCCAAGCCACCAGTATAAATTATTTTCACTTACTTATTACGATGTTATCTCCAATGACCCAATACAGTTATTTACAAGAAACTATACATAAATAACATGGTTTAGCTTTCACCAAGCAACTACAACCGAAGCGTCTAGCCCTCCATGAGGTTATCACCCACTAACCAGTCATACGATATCCTTACAGCGATATGTGCCTGCAAAAAAAGTACACTGTACGAGTGACTACCGACCTATCAGATTGTATGCATTGGTCTTCTGAATCAATTTGAAGTGAGAGTGCAAGTGATTAACGCTCAAGCCGATTTTATGTGTCAAGTATAATGTACAGAAAAACATGTAATTAGAACTGAATCGCATACATACAACACTCATATGTTAACCCATCCTTTTATCAAATGTTGTCATGTATAATAACATAGAACATTACATGCAGAAACAGCGAATTCAGAGCAAATAATTCCTGTCACTCTTTATACTCGCGAAATCACCCCTCTCAAATCCCTTCTCCCTCTTGGCTGCATGAAGCTTCCTGTTAAAATATGTACAGCTTCCGTCAGTGAGTTCCACATTCTCACTGCCTTTGAGATAATCGAATTGGGGACCGTTTTGGATGCATAAATCAAAACGCAAGTTCAGCAAATTAGAATAAATACTGTATTTGAGACTCTGTACCTATTTAATTTGTTGTTGTTTAATTTGAACATTACAGCTAATCTGTTACCCCAGTGATTGAATCCCGGTTTATCTAAATTCACAATTGTTCGACAAAGCGCACCAACCACACACAATTATTTCCTGAACCGAGAAAGGGAGGAGATCAAACTTCAAAGCCACATATTCATATTTGGCAATCGACAACCCTTGGGTTGCAGAGCAGCAAAGGGTTTAAACCAGTCCCGATAAATGAACAGAATAATAGCAAATGTTGCGCTGTGCATGTGATTCCGGAGTTTATTTCCACAGGTGTGCATTCAGTTTATATGTGTTTTTTTTTAAAAAAAACAATGGGATGTATCTTTCAGTCTGTTTAGCAACCAAATAAGAGATGGTAACTTCCATTTGTATACATTGAATGTATTGTTTCACATACACCAACGTATTCGTTATCTCTTCTCGGTACTTCTCTGTTTCTTGCTCAATTTTTCATCCTCTCCCTAGTAGTTTGTAATTATTCTCTAATGGATCCGTACCTCGATCAACATAACTTAATTCTCCGAATACTTGCTACGCTAACCATTTGTCCATATAACATACATCGATATTTAATTTGTTATAGTTTTTGGTGGTATTCCGGTTGACATATATAAATGCAATAAATGGCAATTTTGGGACTCATCTGAACCCATTGCTGTCTGCAACAAAGGTTGGCGATTGCCAAAAATGAATAAGTTGCGATGACTTTTGACCTTCTGCCTTTGTCAGCTCGGGAAATAATTTGATGTGGTTGGTGCGACTTTCAGAACAGTTGTGAACTTAAATGCATCCAAAACGCTTCCCAATTCAATTACCCAAAAGCTGGTGAGAATGTGGATCTCATGATGGAAATTGTGGCTGAAGCACAACATATTTAAGAGGAAGTTTGGTGCAGACGTGAGGGAGAAGTGATTAGGTTAGGTAATTTATGGAGTATCGGCAGGAATCAGTTGCGCTGAATTGGCTATTTTTGCGCTGTAACGTTCTGTTATTTTGACAAAATTTGATAACAGGATTGGCTAGCGTGGTAACGTTGTGTGTCCCCGATTTAATTCTAGTTACGACGATTGTCTGTACACTACACTTAGCACCTGCTTGTGCTTTAATCACTTGCAGTTTCCCATCAAACATTACTTTGAATTATCTCGGAAAACCAATGCATACAATCTGATAACTCGGTAGTCACATGTATGGTATACTTTTTCTGCATACACGTGTTGCTGTAAGGATCTCGTATGATTGGTTAGTGGGTAATATAATCTCGTGGAGGGCTAGATGCTTGAGTTGTAGCTATTTACTGGTGCACGCTCAACCTTATTATATATGTATATTTTCTTGTGAATAACGTTTTTGGGTCATTCGAGATATACTCACAATAACATGTTAACAATACTTAGAGAAAATAATTGATATCGGTGACTTGGCTAACAGTCTCCCCAATAAAATTGGCCATCAATTGCTGTATGTGGGACATGGCAGTTTACAAATTGGCGTCCGTGTTCACCTATAAAATATCCGCAGCATTACGACTTTACAATATATCATATGAAAGTTTCGAAATATATTGACAAAGTCCCTAAAAAATTAAAAATAATAATAATTTGGTCACTCAATCCACGACTGTTTGTGGGACACAGCTGAGCGCAATTGGCTGCCGTGTTTCACCCACAACGTATACAACCAATTCAGCTTACAGTATATCTGTGAAGCACTTTGAGACGTCTCGAAAATGTGATAAGATGCTATATCAAATGCAAGGATATTATTATTTTTATTATATCAAATGCAAGGAATATTAGCTTTATTGTACTCGTAGTTCAAATGGAAGACTGATCAGCAACTGAACATTCTGCAGTATCATTATTCCACAGTACCTATTCAATATTTTTACACTTATTTTATTTGAAAATTGCATTTCTTTTATTGGAATTTAACTGAGTTGTTTTTGAATTGTTTAATTGTTGGTTGTTATACCTTAGCCTACAAATTACACAATTACTAAATTTTGGTGTGAATCCGGGAGCATCTGAAACCTTTCAAAATGTGTGAAAGATTTCATATGTGAGGGTGAGGACCTTGAAGTTGATCCGTTCTAAGACAATGAGCCAGTAGAGCTTGGTGAGGATTGGGGTGATACATAACAATTTAGTGTGGGTGTGGGTAGGAGCAGCTGAATTATGGATTATTTGAACTTTTTGGATGGTACCTCACCCGCACGTTAGCAGAAAACCCTCTCCATGCCTTAGCCACCTCGTACCTTGACTACTCAAATGCCCTTCTCACCATTCTCCACTACCCACAAGCTAAATGATTAAAAACTCCAAAGCCTGTAATCTCATTGACACTAAACTCAGTAACCCCATCACACCAGTCCTAGCTAGGCTTCACTCCACCTTGTAGATCACAGCTGAAGACTTTACTCTTTGACCGTGCTTACGGTCACCTCCTCCTACCCCTCTGCGACCCTGTAATCCCCTACCATCCTGCTCGCTCCCTCCGCTCAGTGGGCTCAGGCCTGCTTCACGTCCCCCGCCTTGCTTGCCCTAATATTGGTGAGTGGGCCTTTGGCCACTCTGCCCCCACTCTCTGGAACTCCATCCTGCAGTCCCTCTGCCTCGCCCCCTCCCTTGTCTCCTTCAAGACCCATCTGAAGACCCTCCTATTTGACCGTGCTTTCGATCTCCCTGCTTCCCCCCTTGCCCTCTATACTCCCCATCCCCAACCCCCAACTTGTGTCCAAAACTCTTTCTGTGCAGCCCCTTGGGACATCTTCCTGACAAGAATGGTGCGATAGAAATGTAATTTTATTATTGTTCTTGTTAATATTTTCCAAAATTCTTGATTGGGCATTAAAATTGCCTTTGTTGATGTGTAGGAAGAGTCAGGGGAAAAAGTGCATTGTAATCTTGGGTCACTTTGTGTGAGTATTACTAGAAATGATGGCTAAATGTGAACTATACTCTTATCAATTTTACGTTTCCATTTTCACCTTTACGTTCTCCTCTTTACCCCACTGCCGTGTATTGCATAATAGGTCGATCAGAACTAATATTTGTGAACAGCAACAACTTGCATTTATATAGCACCCTTCACGTCGGCATCTCAAAGCACTTGAAATTAGTATGACAATATTTTTATATCCCGTGAAGCAAATTGAGAGGCGTCGACAAGATGATAAGGTGGTGCCTTATATTGAACAGTATAATCATGAAATAGGGTTTTGCTTTTCATGACATTGTAACTATTTAAAGTGAAATAATTATTGAGTGAAATAATGGTTATAATGCTTAATACATTGGAAACGACTTTACAACAACTGTAAAGAGAAAAATCGTTAGAATTAAATTTAATCTTGACTGCCAGTGCCCGTTCTTGTAGTTATCACACTCTCGGGTCCAACAACCATTGCTAGGTGATACCTGACTAAGAGTTCAACTCTTATCCAAGACCAACACAGATAGATTAAACATAGAGAATTCTGATACTTTTTCACTATTTATCTCAACCTATTCCAAAGGGGAACTTTTACTTCAGGGCTACAGGGAGTACATATTTACTTGCAAAATAGTTTATAAGAAAAGTTCTGACTGGTATATAAGGGGCATGGTTAAAGCATCACAGTTTTATCAGAACAGGAGGGAAACCTTAGCAGCCCAACAGCGTTATGGCACATTTCTTTACACGACACAATCCAAGAGGGGCGGCTTAAGTGGGGTGGGAGGGGTGCACATCGGTGTCTTACAATCTCTCTTACAAGCATTCATTTTCACCATCCACCTTGCTCCAAACCACCAGGCCATCCATTTGCCATAGGCTTGATCTTTGGTCTGTTTCCTGGAGCCCCAGAGAAAGAGAGAGAGCGACATCTGGAGGCTTGATCTTTGCACATGGGCTCCGGCCCTCTGATACAACCCAAAGGCTTGCCTCTCCAAGTTTGTGACGCTATTACTCCCTCTGGTCTGCAATTTGCTTTATTTGTGTATAAAGAGAATATCTTTGCCGTCAATACAAAATAGCAAATTTGGTTTACCGCAATTGATAGGACTGAAATTCACAATTTGCTATAACTCTAAATATAAATATGCTCTGTGACTAATTAAATGGCTTCCTTCCAAGTTGCACAAAGTGAAACAGATAGACATGGCCACGAAGACGGAATCTAAAATCTCTACATTGACCTCGCGATTCAATATAAAACTACGCCGTAAATCAATAGTATGTAAATTGTTAAGTCTTCTTAACTGTTAATTCGTCTTTATTTGTACCGTCCACATTCGGGCAAATTGGAAATGTACTGTGTTTTGTAGTGAACAGATCCACAAAAAACACCAGCAGATAAACTCTCTAAATTACTGCGACTTCAATGCCCTGGTGCTCCAGGTTTGGGCATATGATCAATAATTTCCAAAATAACATTGTGTACTTTTATGCAATACATGGCAAGCAGTCACAGTCTTCATAAATGTACACAGTAATAACTGATCTAGACACAGTAAGCATTGCATCGATATCGTGAAATCAACAACAATATATTAAAATATATTGCTCTTGTATGTCTAGACTGTGAACTTAGAGTTCTTATGTAGTGGTGGTGAATTTACAACTCTCCGATTCAGAGGCGATACTGCTCGTAACTGAACCGGGCTGACACAATACTCTCCTCAATGATTAGCTTCCTGCACCATCAACCTTCCGTGGGAGAAATATGTAGTCTCCGCGTGAACTACTGATATATTAGACTGTGCACAGCTTATAGTCCGTTATTATCAATCAATAATACGCAGTTTTCCATCTTTTAGATACAAGTTTGAATGTATGTAAACTGTTTATATGGATACACAGCTGCACTTTTAGTCTCACACATTAACTTCAATAAATCATTATTTAATAAAACAAAATCTCTTAAAACTCTGCCGATTAAATAGATATACGGTAAATAATAGTAGGTTTGGCATTTTCTTTTTGTTGTGTATAATAAGAGTAGAGTGAAGTATGAAGGAACTGTAAAGTAAATAGATGTGTCATAAAATTCATCCCAGAATCTACATTGGGAAACAACAGGGTTTAGTGCATGAGACAACATGCTGGTTCAGGAAGTAAAAAGTTATTTTGAAACCTGAACTTCGGATACATTTTATCTTCGTTCACCATTTTCTCTGCACACTTCCCTTGCTTTTGTCGGTACAATTCTAAGCCACTGTTTCAGTGTAAATCGCGACAATCTATTAATCAATTGGCCTTTTCTAAAGAGAGAGGAAGTAAAACGTCACAGGATGTACTTCACATCAATCTGCAAACGCTTGTTACAGTCCAGCAACATTCAGATCAGCAGCACCAGGCGGTTAGAATTATGTTGAGTCCTTTGTTATACCTGTGTGTCCTGGTGATTATTTCCACGGGTAAGTGATTGCTCTATCACCCAGTTTATTTAGCAATGAAAGTAGATTGCCACTACACTTTGCAGTATATTTTGTGAAACGCTTTGAGAAAACGTGACAAGGCGCCATGTCAAATGCAAGGATTATTATTATTATTGAGTAGTTTCGGTATAAACACAGTTTACTGACTTACTCTCAGTGTGTCTGTATGTATCTTTGTCTAATTTAATTTTTTTTGCTTTCCTACCCACTTGTCCATATTAATATACATCAATATTTCATTTTTGATAGTTTTTGGTGATACTTCCGTTAAAATTACTCAATTCCCTGAATACTTGACGGCAAACAGAGGAACAAACATCACCTTCTACTGCGGCTATCCATTCTCTCTACACTCTTCACGTATCCAAGTGTACTGGAGGAAGCAGGGAGAGACGACATACCTGCACACACAAGAGGATAGCAGGAAACGGTTTGGAGTTAAAAGTAAAGGAAATCGCTTCTTCCAGTTTCTGGATGTGAATATTCAGGATGCTGCAGTCTATCACTGCGAACTGGTGTTAGAGGGGAAAAAAGTAGGAAATGGAAATGGATCGCGTTTAATCGTGTACGGTAAGTGAATGATATGGATATAGAGACTGTTCCTATGTTGAAATATCCCGCAAACAAATGTTTCGGAATCTTTTATATTGTTTTCGTTACATTTACAGTGGTATTCTTCAATGTCATTTTCTGCAAATTAATGGTAATGTTCCCTCTCTGGGGAAAGAAATATAGTTACGCTGCAAAATCCGAATAATTTTTTTTATTACACAATTGTGCACAATTCAAACTGCCGCCCGCCGAAATTCACCGTTATATAATATTATGGATCATGTTTTATGATGTGACATATCTGAGCATTAATGGCATATACGTCCGTCCCTTTTCAACTTAAATACACCAAATACACTAAATATAATTAGAAACGATTTTAGAATTTCCTCATGTTGGAAGGAATGTGATGTCTCCCTCATCAGTTTATTCCAGCAGTAACCGTTCGGTACCCTCTAACTGATTTGCAGTCTCTGAAACTTTAAGATCCTCACCTTGCATTAATTTTTCCCCCCAGTTTAAAATATAGATAATTTAATTTGAAGTATCCACAAGATAAATGTCCCATGATTTTAAATATGTAATTTAATTGCCTTCAATCAGTAGTTGGCCCAATTTGTACAATTTATGGAAGATATTGGCGCATTTGGCTTACTAATGATAATAATAACACATATGATATATTTTTTGACGCCTTTCACATCGGCATGAATTGTTGTATAAACGAGTGGCTTTTGTACGCGAAGCCGGCATCCAATTGTCAGCAACAATGTTCCAAAAATATTTATGAGGTAAATGACCATTTTTTATCTGGGAATTCTTGGCCGGACCCGGGGAGAAATCCCTTGTCTTTTCCAAAAATGCTGTGGGAACTTACGCATGCACCAAAGAGGCAGATTCAATGTGTCCTCGATGTTGATATCCCCACCAAAAATCAGCCTCCCCAGGGCTGCATTGGTGGGTTAAATAGCAATAATAGTCACTGCAATTGATATGGCACAGAATCACGTCCTGGACAGTCTCCAAAGGCTTCATAATTATATTTGTAGGCAAATAGGGCACCGATATGTGCACATCAACATCCCCCCAAAAGCTATAAAGGTTTCCAACGATTTACAATCCTCCAAGTCTTCTCGACTGTCAGAAAATTGGAAATAGAAATCAGAATAAGGTTTATTCCCCCAAAGTAACATCATGATTCTACCCCTTTATCTGTTCTACAGTTCCCCCAACCCCACTGGCGATTTCCCGCATGGATCCCGAAAGAAATCTGTCTGTATTTCTGACTCTTGTGTGTGAAACGGCTGAGTTTTTCCCGGAGAATCTCAACCTCACTTGGTATAAAAATGGCATAGAAATTACAACAGTGAATACTATCACTGAGCAGAGGAATCCCGGGCAATTGTTTAAAGCTCACAGTTATTTGGAGGAGACACAGCCTGTTCAGAGTGGAGATGTTTATACCTGTTTGGTATCTCACGTCAGCCTCCAGAATCCAGGGATTGCCAACTATACGGTTTTGCTTCCTCACACAGGTAGGTCGCCAACAATCTTAGAATTATTATATGATAGGTAAGTTGTGACGGGGTTGGTGTCTAGTATTAATCCGTGTTGGAAATTATAGGTACACTATTGATGTCATGGAAACATGCTATCATTATATAAAGTATACGTATTTGAATATTGATGCTGTGGCGTGCCTCATGTTTATCAACAAAAATATATACATTTTAGAATCACTTCACGGACAAGTCTGTTGTACAATGAAGCTAAGATTACATTACGTTTTTTTACTGAAACATTTCTGCAAAGTATTGCCACAATAAACAAGGTCGATGTTGTTTCCGGTTTAACAAAGATGCAATATCTTTAGCAATACAATCACTAAATTTAGATTCATTGGTTGGAGCATAGTGTTGTGGAAATCGTTTCCTGACGTGTAGGTGTGCTGTAGCTCAGTTGTTAGAGCACTCGCTCTGCAAGTGAGAGACCTGGGTTCGATTTTCGGCAGTGCAAAACATTGGGCGACTCCACGCACATGATAATAATCCCTCAAGAAAAAAAAATTGGTCACTTCAATCCATGACTGTTTGTTGGTCACTGCTATGTGCAATTGCCTGCAGCGTTTAGCCCATAAACATACAGTCAATTCACTTTACAGTACATTCTGTTAAGCGCTTTGGGATGTCTCGAAGATGTGAAAAGCACTATATCAAATGCAATGATTATTATGATTATTATTATTATTTGGGCAATTAGAGTTGCAGCAAATTGCTTCAACTTTTAGTCTCTCTGCTTTGCAGAACAAGCAACATACTCTATGATGGAAGACTCGCTCTAGAAGGTGTCGGTTTCACCACCTTAGGTTATTCTGTCCTTTGTAGGGATCGGTGATTGGACAAACAATTTACTTGCACCTGGATGTGCAGGTGGTGCGTGTGCATTATTGGTTATTTTCATCCTTTTTGCAATCGGATGCAGACTAAAGAAACGGAAAGGTAAGAAATCATTTGTTTTTTTTACTCATATTAAAAGTTTAATATCAGTAGAAATTATTCAGCGAGTAAAAGCACCCCATCCCGGGACATAGAGTTGAAGACACAGTTTTATGATAGACCTCGATTATTGCTTGTTTTTATTCTGAAAGGGAGTGAAGGGACCAGTCCCAAAGTGCAGGAGCCACAAACCTGAACAAGTAGAATAAAGCGCACTGTAAATCAAGGTGTATTTCTTATCGTTCGCCCACAAATATACAGTCAATTCACTTTACAGTGTGTTCTGTGAAGTGCTTTGGGACATCCACCCGACGTGAAAAGTGCTATATCAAATGCAGGGATTATTATTTTTTTTTTTATGGGACGCTGAACTTGCGAGGTAAACATTGTGAAAGGGAAGATTTAGATAGGCAGCGGATTGTAATCCTGGGACAGAAAGCGTTTGAATCAGATGAACTTTTAAATAATCCAATACAACAATAACAACAAGAAGAACAACTTGCATTAATACAGGACCATTCACACGAGTACCGTCTTGGAAACCTTAAATACAGCGCTTAAATAAATGCCAAATGTGTATAGAAGAAACATGTACTATGTATATAACTGTGTATTGAAGCTTTATGTTCGATTTTATGTTGAGTGAACCTCCAAATATCTTTGAAATTACGGAGCATGAAAAAAGAATAAATATTTCATTGATTGATTTTAATTATATTCATGGTTAGGTTCAGGCGTGATACCAAATGAAACGGACTGCCCCGGAAAACGGGTAAGGTTTTTAACACAATTAAAGCAATTTAAGTGAGACCATTTTAAATATAAAACCACTCAGTGATATATTAAACCAATATGGGATGCTTAAAAGAAAGGAGACCGGCAGCTGAGGCTGTGATTCCGGAAAGCGTTACCGTAGCGCGGAGTAGAATGGTTGGATAGCTTCACTGGTGGATCGGGTGGGGGTTGTGGCAGAAATGGTACCAATGTTCCTGAAGGATAGTGAGCGATCGCAGCAGTTCACAGAGGAACTGTGCGAGAAGAAATATAATGCAACTTAAAGTGATTGGTCTCCGTGCGAAAGAAAATACGTTCCAACTTGGTTAAGATTGGTAAAAAAAATGCATTCAGACAACTTATTTAGGAACGGAACAAAATTCTGCAGAGCGGTGAACGCAAATGACAATGTAACTCCATTCTGTGTTTTAACAGACTGCGATGGAAGCAGATGCTGAGAGGATGGTGTATGCCACATTGGATTTAACTGGTTCTAAAAAAGTTGGAAAACCCAAGCATCAGGAGGAGAGGACAGTATATGCCCAGGTAAAGATTTACAAAACACGCGAAAACCAAGACACAAATCACTTTCATCCAACCGATTTTTGGATACTTCACTAATCTAAGTACAATAAATAATTTTCAACAGGCTTTGCATACTTGATTGTAGGGGACAATTGTTCCTAAACATTCTTACTTGCTTCTCAAAATTTTCACACGCCCACCTCAACCACCGATTTTGCAACCACAGTGTTGCAATACTTTGAGCAATCGTTCATTATTTACCCAAATGCCCATTCCTCATGTTAAGCGACAAGTGCAGCAGAGTAGCACCACTGGGACTTCACATATCACAAAATGTTACCACTCCAAAACAGGTCAATCGTTTCGTCAAATTTGCCCTTGTGTTTTTTCAGCATGGGATAATCTAATCATAATAATTATTGAATGTGAGTTACATACGTTCATACATTATACATACTACCTACAAACAAAACTACAAACATACATACATGACATTTTTCTGCTTACTCTCCCCACTCATTGATGTCGTCACTCATTTATCTATTTAAACATTTCCGTTTAAGAATATTCATGGTCTCTGCTTCCACTACGGGTTGCGGCAGAAAATTCTATACTCAAACCATCTTTTGAACAAAGATTTTTTTCTAACATCCATTGAATTGTTTTGTGTGATTATCTTAACTTTGTTCCCTCTGGTTACTTTTTATTGCACAATAATAGAGATAATATATTACTCTATCATAACCCTTCAAAATTATGAATAATATGGGTCACCATTAATGAGGCTAAGGCATGACTACAAATGCTTACAAATTGATCCACTAGTTTCGGTCAAGCTATTATATTAGTCACACTTGAACTAATGATATTGGGAAACATTGATTTTACAGACCAAACAGGGGACATCCAGTAACAAAGTGACCTATGCTGCTTTAGATTTGTCTGGCTCCAAGAAAACAGCAACGCTTAATCACAATGACAAGAATACAGAGTATGCAGAAATACAGATGAAAAAGCTACAGAGGAGCAACAGAGACTGTCTCTAGAAAGCAATGAGCCATACACACACACAAAGTATTGACGTATTTAAGTGGCAGGTCTTGCCTCGTGGCCTTTGTTCATTCACGTATGTGCCAGTATCACGCCACTAATCGACCATGACTTCCAGAGGTACCTGTAGTTATCAGTGTCTGTTTTTTATTTTAGTTTTCGGTCAACAAATTATGCTTAAAGGAAAATAAACCCTCCTGCTTCAGTCTGGATAAGCTAATATTTGACAGGTATATATTATTTTAATTAACCATTAATATCTGTATCAATATAATAATGTGCTTAAACCTAAATATGGTTTATCTAAGATAAAAACACAGCTATTATATCACTAAAATGAAACTTACCAAAATGCATACTTTAATAAATACTTGGCAAAATTATTTCAGAGATTGATTCATTTCCAATAAGCAGTGATAGTAGCATGGATGAGGGTCTTGGAGGCCGGAGGGCCAGCAAAGTTGCTGAGGTGGGGGACAGCTGAACGGATCAAGGCAGATTTGGGGTTTAAAGGACAGTTGAGAGTCAACACCAAAGTTCTACACCTCCATGAGGTGGAATGTGCATCCACGGAGTCCTGGAGGTTAGATCATTCACCTCGCAATCGAGAAGACCTGGGGTTTGATTCCCGGGCATGGCAAAATGTTGGGCATGTTTCCTTACTCCATATGTTTTTGTTTATCCAGCAGTAAGTAGGAACTCACAGTTGATAGTCGCTTTTCCGAGGTAATAATCCCTTAAAAATAATAATAATAATAATAAATTGGTAGCTAAATTCACAGCTGTTTGTGGGACACTGCTGTGGTTACTGGCTACCACATTTCTCCCACAAAATATATGCAGTCTATGCACTTTACAGTATATTGTGTGACTCACTTGAGATGTCTTGAAGACATGATAAGACATTATATTAAATGCAAGGATTATTATATCAGTGTCTTGGGATGTCGTCCCGACATGAAAGGATCTATTCAAATATAATTTGTTGTTGTTGTAAATTGATGCTGACTGCCCATTGAGAGGCCCTGTTTGAAGCCAAGAAGGTGAGCCTTTGTCTTGTCGACGTTCAACTGTACAATGTTATCTCTCATCCATCATATGTGGAACTGTCAAAAAAACAAATTACATTATAAAGCAATGATTCTATTATTACAGATGCAAAATTTCATATTAGGTAATCTCCTGTAGTAACAGATTTTCCTATTGTTCAGATCCCTAGGATACCTTAACATTTTTTAATAATTGAGAAGTGTTTTGCAGGTAAACAGATAGCTCCATCTGCTTCAGAAATGTGCAGATTATTTTATGCATGTGGGCTTAAGTGGAGAAAAATAAGTTTACTTAGATATATAGTAGCTCAATTTTAATAGAGAGTAAATGTTAAAGGTGTACAGATTTGTATATCAGAATCGAACAATAAACACGTTTTCTGCATGCTTTGGGTGTCTGCATGGTTCATTTGGAAGAGCTGTGTCATATAAATGGATGGATGGATGTGTTAGAGTGTTTGCAACCACTCAAAACAGGTTCGGATTCAGTAATACCAACAGGCCAGAGTCTTAGGATGTTTTAATCAAAACAAACATTTAATTATGCATACATGTGTAAAAAAAAGTCACGTCCATCTTAATAAAACAGAGCAATACTACCGAACGTTGCAGCAAGCTAACGTTAGTTCTTCAAGCAATCAAGCCTTCCATTTTTCCTAGCTTTTAGTCTTCTGTCTTCTTTGTCCAAGCTTTCAATCTTCATTGTTCTCTGCAATCACTCAGCGATGCTCTGGAGTTAATTAACTTACTTAAGTTGGACTGCGGTTTTTATAAATGTTTCTACCAGACAGAGACAGGCTCCAGCTTTGGAAGGGAGAAGCAAAATGTCCTGTGTTGAAGAATAATGAGCAAGGTGCTTTGTCTCAAAAGGGTCTGCTTATCTAGAAGACATGGGTAAAAGGATGTGCAAGGATCGAGTATGTTGAGTATGCGCTAAGATGCTTGATTGGAGAAGAATGGGGGAAGATCCCTAGGTGGAAAACGTATAACTACCCTGACTTTAGGTAAGTGAGGCAGCAGATCCAGCGAGACAAAGAGGGCATCGGAGAGAAGGTGTGCTGAAACCATCGCAACTGACTGACTGCTGCAAAACTGGTGGTATAAGTTCTATTACTTGTAGTGACAGTATTATTTTACTAGTTTTGTATGTGTTACTTTGATTAGTAAATCTCCATTACACCTGAATTGGATTGTCAGGTTATTATTTGAACCTCGGGATTGGAAATCCCAACAAAACCAAGTCTCTAACGGGATTCTCTGAAGTCACGTGAACACATGATAGTCTCACAGTTTGTGAATGTATGTTCCCTGATTGATAATTAGGATAAGGGGAAGTAACTTTAAAGCACACATTGAGTCAGATCACAAGCATCAACCCATACATTATGTGACTGAGATGACAGTTTGAGGCCTTGAGTCAGAACATGAGGGTCTGGTCAGGGTTTCCCACCCCTGCTAGGGTCTACTTCCTCAATATGCTGCTTGTTCTCCAAAGTCGGCCATTTTTCAAAACTTCATAAGTGTTTCTTTTATGCCACTTTAACAACTTACAACAGATGGATGAATGAATGAATGTTGCATGCCTCAAAAAGCATCGCAGAATTCACTGTAGGCTCTTTTTTCTACACAATCCCAGTAATCAATTTGCGGGGGAAAGAAAACTTAGTACAGACATGCTTGTAAAACTGCATTCAGCATGGAATAATAGAATCACAGAATCTTACAGCACAGAAGGAGGCCATTTGGTCCATCTTGCCTATGCCTTGTCTTTGTAAGAGCTAACCAACTAGTCCCACTCCCCTCTCTTACCCTATAGCCCTGAAAATTTACAGAATCATATGTTCACCTTATTTAAATTACCTCACATGTCAATACATTTCTGAAGAGCAGATTTTATCAAGATGGAAATTATTATTTTCTCATATGAGTAACCTATCATTTTTCCACATCCATAACCATTTACATGAATGACCATATTGAAATCAAACTGTCTGCACCATCTACTACCCTACTTGATGTTTTCCCCATGTTCTTAAAAATGTGAAACTCTTTATCTCCCTCAGTTTTCTATTTTTTTTTACCGTTCATGTTCTTAAATTATATGCCAAACTTAATAGTTTCCCCTTTCAAAGCTTTCAAACTATGTAAATATTGTCTTTTGGACTAATTCACCTATGTCAAGGTCAAACATAAATGCCACAAACAATTGCTTAGGTGCTACGACAAAACAAATCTAAATCATAGCAATTCATGAGAACAAAGATTAGGTGCACTTGTGTGCATACCAACTTGAGGATTATCAATGGTCTCCGTCTTCCATTATTAATATCTTAGGGAAATCATCTATCATTATAACTATGAATATTCCAGCAGTTTCATCGATTCAAAGACGTAAAAAAAGTCTCAATTGTTTGATGAATATTTATTAAAGTGTTTAATTCTTGTGATATTTGTGAATTCACAAAGTATTGCAATGAAGTGAATAACTCAAATTTATCTTAGACTGGCTGCACTGAAAACTAACAGTGACCATGTTATGAGTTAAACTTAAAAAGAACTTGACAAAGTATGGTGCAATGCAACAACCTCAGTGAAAAGGTTATAGTGTGGGAGTACCTAAAATATACCTAACAGGAAGAAACTGATCTTTCTAACGTGTTGCATCTGCAACCTTTAGTGTGTCACAGAACACTAATTACAATGCAAATGTTTTGTTTTCATCTAGATTTAGAACACTAGATTTAGAACACGGTTTATTAAATTTAACTCCAAACACACAGTTTAAATGTGGCTCACTGTGTGGAAATATTTGTCAGTCTGTCAGTCTCGCTCAGTTGGTTGCACTCTCTGAGTCAGAAGGTGTGGATTGAAGCACCACCATGACACTTACAACTCATATAGCTTGGGCTGCACCCCAATGCAGTGCTGAGTGAGTGGCATTGTTGGAGGTGCCATCCTTCAGTAGTAAATATAAACATAATAACAGCAACAACATGATTACATTTGTATTGCTCCCTTCATGCCAGGAGAATGTCTCAATAAAATAATCCCTCTTTACAATATTGAGCTACAAGGGTACAATACATGGAACCCTGCATCTGGTTTGGGTGCTCATAAGCATGGCAATTAGTTTCCATATATGTTGGGCGCTGGCTGTCAAAGAAACCTTCTAAACTTTTCTTTTAAAGTACACAGTTTCTGATCTAATTTAAGACGGTTCTATAGAATATCTATGAACAAGTCCAATCTTATGAAGAAACAATCATTTATGTGAGGCAATAATTCAAATGTGTCTGTGCCGCTGTCATGTGTGTTTCTGTGTGGTACTTTTAATTAAATCAATTTTCCAGTTCCATCTTCATAATCTGTTAATATTTCATTGGTCATGTTTTTATCATTAATGTTTGAAAGATTTATTGATACACAAACCAAATTAACAACGCCCACTACCCAGCAAAAATGTGCAACATTTGCTTCCTCTAAGTTAGTTGTGACCAAATACATAAGACATATAAACGGTTAGGCTGAACCTCAGATAACAATCACTGTTAAGATATAATTCTAACCAATGTTTTAAGTGCACAACCACAGTTACGCACTGTAAGTATTAGTTTTAGGCGTACACTAAAATATATCATTAACTGAAATAGTTCACATTTGACTTTCGAAATTTCCAAAACCACCAGAACCGCATTTTTTGCAGCAAGCGTCATTTTCCATTACGCAAAATGGCTATGTTTTTTGCATTCTGCCCCTCACTCCTTAAAAGGACCCATTAACTTTTGATGTACATATTTTCCATTTTTTTTGTTACATATGCCATTGTGTTTTTTTTTGGTAATTAAGTGTGGCCCAAGACCTTACATGTTACTGAAAGGCACTAAACCAAACGCCATTCTCTTTTAAGATACATCTAACATAACATGAAATGTTATACTGCAGGACTCAACAACAACAACAACAGCAACTTGGATTTATATAGCGCCCTCCACGCCGGATGACGTCTCAGAGCGCTTTACAGTTTCGGATCCCGGGACCGAGCCACGGGGAGGGGGAGGGGTGGGAACATGACCAAAGGCCGGTCAAAAAGAAAGGTCTTCAGCAGAGACCTGAAAATGGGAAGGGAGAGAACGAGACGAGGGGAGTAAGGAAGGCAGTTCCAGAGCCTGGGGGCATAGTGGCTGAAGGCACGGACACCGAGGGTGGAGCAGCGGGGGATAACGAGGAGGCCAGACCCAGAGGAATGAAGGCAACGGGTACTGTGCTGAGGAGAGAGGAGGTCAGAGAGGCCGGGGGGTGCAGAGGAGTGCAGGGACTTGATCTTGAAATTGATCCTCTCTGGGATAGGCAGCCAGTGCAGTCTGGCAAGGACTGGGGTGATCGGGGAGCGGAGTTTTGCGCGGGTGAGGATGCGGGTGGCAGAGTTATGAATGAGTTGGATTTTATGGATGGTAGTGGATGGGAGACCGGCGAGGAGGGCATTTGAATAGTCCAGCCGGGTGTTGACAAAGGTATGGAACAGGGTTTCAGCGGCCTTTGGGGAGAAGTATTGGTGGAGACGGGCGATGCGTCGGAGGTGGAAGAAAGCGGTGCTGATGAGGGACCGGATGTGGGGGTGGAAGGATAAACAAACATTTCCTGCCCACGGGATACACTTCAAAGACTTATGCAGTCATATCAATGTTTTAGCATTACACTTCATACATGGATTGTAAAACAATACATTTTTGTCACCCACAAAATATACAATCAATTCACTTTACAGTATATTCTGTGAAGTGCTTTGAGATGTGTCAATGATGTGATAAGGTGCTATATCAAATGCAAGGATTATTGTTATTATCATCATTATTATCATCATTATTATTATTTAACAGGTCTTAAGCATTTTGTTAAGCATTGTCAGAAATAAATTCTGACAAAGATTAGCGACAACGAAAAAGAATATTTTACGGTAATTAATTTGCATCACACAAAGCTGTTAATGACAGACAATGTTGCTTTTACAGACCATTTAAGGACAAGTTCAGAAATGTTTGATGTGCGCTCCACTGCAGCTGGAAATTCTAACCCGAAAACAATGAATACAGACCACCAGAGATACATATGAGACACAAGAGAGAAACACGGACCTCTGTAAAGGTATAAGAGTGAAATTAGATCGAATGTGGGTACAGTGGGCATCCTAGCCCACTGCACTGACACATTAAATAAAGATTTTTTTTACTGAAATGTATGTAGCAAAATATTTACATAGTTCTGGTATTATCATTATGGACTAGCTTAAAATCCTCCCAAATAAAGATTTTCTTCTGCAAACTGGCTGTCTAAACACCACCATATGTAAATATAATAGTTTCACAAGATCATAAGATATTTTCGAATGAAGAAGGTTCTTTGGCTCATCCAACCTCATTCCTTGGTAATGCCCTCACTAGCATCTTCATTCCATAGAATTAAACTAATTAATTGCGTGCAGTGTCCCTGCCATAACCAGCTTTCCTGGCAACGGGTAGTGTTGGGTTCTGGGCAATCAGCAGAATAAGACAAGCTTATCCTTCATAGCTCTCCTTTAATTAAGGACTCGGGAACAGAGGCACCAAAGACACTCAGCAACTCAAGCTTTGAAAATCTTTACTTCATAAGAAATGTAAAGTTTGTGAGTTCAATTACAACAAATACAACAGACAGTCAATAGTACAGACACATGTCCTTTGAATCATCAATGGTGTACAGCTAAACTGGGTACTTTACTTCGTAGTTGCAACACACTGTTGTTCTTCTCCTCCCGTTACTTTTCAAACGATTTCAGCCGTTCTGCACTTGGGAGTGACATGGACATTTTTGTTTTTGGTTATCTCCTATCGTTCACGAGCTATGACCTAAAATGTATTTCATTATTGCACTTTTCCCTGCATTTACACCTGGTGGCCGCAAAGTCAAAGTAGCGCTATGGCAACCTGTGTCACAGAGCACACATGTGGCCAACTGATGGAGGGAACAAAATAAAGGACACAGATGAAGCTAAGACACAGCAAGAAAACCAAAATTACATTGTTAATGCACATTTCATGTTGGGAGAACGTTCCAGTGATTATAAATTATACACTTAAATTTATCATTATAAAGATGCCTACACAAAAATCAAACCTTTCAAGGATAAGTAAAAATGCTAGACAAAAGAAAGCTCATTAAATGAAACTGAAAAACAAAGAACAGCCTGTCTGCACTTCAATGCTGAAAGAACTGCAACGGTGGGTCAAAATGAATTGCCCACTCAAAGAACAGCACGGCCAAAATGTGTCCTCCCAGATGAGAATAGATAAGATGAAATGTCTAATTGTGTGTTGTCTGTGTGCCAATCTACATTCCATATTGGATTCTTGAGTTGCGAGTGTAGCTGCAATGATACAGCTTGTCTTTTATAATCAATTTTCCACAGTCAGGATGAGAATGTAAAATCTTTCCATTTTCATTTCTATGAAGCAATTACCTGACATAAAATAATAACCAAATATAATCTGCAAAATTGTTACTACACCTGCAGAATTGTTATTATTATAGACGAATATGAATTGTTATAAAACTTGAATTGTTATAGAAAACATCTTTGACATAATCATGAATTTGTTATGGATGACATCTTCAGCTATCTCATCTTTAACACAATCCTTAATTAAAACATGAATGTGTTATGGAAAACATCTTCAACAACCTTCAGCTATGATAGACATCTTGACATTTTTCTAGCCTACATAAACATTGTTCACTATTAATTCAAATAGTGCTTTCAACTACATGGGTTAATAAATATATTCACAATTTCAGTTGTGAAGCGGGATCACAACGTTACCCCTCTTGAATTCGAGAATATTTTAAGACAATCTCGCATTCACACTGTCAACTACCGCTTTATGAATACTGAAATTGTATTACACCGGGTTAAAACAAATTATTGTTTGACGGGATCCAATCTACAATTATGTTAGTTGTTCATTGTAGGCAACAAGGATCATTCCCTTTAAAGGGTTTTATTTGATTCACATTTGCCTAAATATCCCCACCCCGCCCACCCACCTTGAATTCGACCACTGGAACCTCCTCTACGTTGACCATAAGGTCTCTGTCGTGACCTTAATTCAATGGATCACTATCATACTGATTAACTTCTGAGGGCCAACGTTTATTATCCTTTTTTCCCAAATCACGAAGATGTCCCAGTGATTCCCATACAATTGACAAACACTCTGCTTGCATCTCAAGTGTCTGAAAAGCGATTACTTCTCAGGGTCAAATGTCCCAGGTCTAGACACTCCATGTTTGAACTCTGCCACTAGGTTTAAATGTGGGGATCCTCTTGGAGATTTTTCTGCGACCGACATTTCCTGTGCTTCGTTTTCTAACTCACTGTACTAAGCATGCAATTGCTCATAAGTTGTGTTTCATCATGTTCAATTTATCAGAGAAGCTGTTCACGTGATTGTAGCAATTGAGATAAACAAGACTTTGTAAAAAAATATTTTATTTCTATTATATCTATCATTAAACTTTCACTAAATGTTGTCTTAACCTGAAACATAATGTTTTGTTGCTGAAATTATCATGATTCATGATTTTGAATTGCATAAATGAAATATGGAGAGACATTCAACATGGTAATGCATTCAAGGATTAACTGCTCAGGTTCCAGATGAAATGTTATACAGTGGCTCATAGCTTTAAATTAAGCAAATCTTTGCGTTTGCCTTAAAGATCACTCGGTATACTCCGTGTCCTTTCACTAATTTCGACAGGTTCTCGTGGTGCAGCCTAAAACCGATGTTAAACATTTTTTTAACATCAGTTTTAGGCTACAACAAACTAACCGTTGTTTAATTACGTTTCTCCCACAAAACGTACAGTTGATTCACTTTACTGTATATACGACGTGATAAGGGGCTAAATCAAAGGCAAGTGTTATCCTCTGAAGAGAACGTTGTTTCCATAGCTCTGTATTTCAGTTTTATTTTCTTATAGTTACTTATTATGAACGTGAATGTTTACTGTGAAAAGTAAGAAATAATGCAGAAAAAATAACACAGATAATGGCAATATTTAACCCTCCATTGTCCTGATCTGAGCAGTAGCTCCAATTACTATTGAAAGGTACACCTTTCTTTGCCAATCACAACCAACCCATCTCTCAACCACGGACTCAGGAAGTCAAACGACACTGAGAGATATTTCTTATTAAACAGTCAGCAACGTTTGTTACACCAACAACTGGTTCAGGGTGAGTCTCAACAACTGATCACAATGATGGCGATTAATGTGATCCCCTATCTTTCTCTAATGGGGATTATTGTCACAGGTATGTTATTTATTTATTTATTTATTTTTTCTTCCCCTCTCTCTGTTTGTTGTATTGCTTTTATTTGATTTGTGTAATCACTAATTATTGGTTAATTGATTTCCTGACAGTTGCTGGTGATGCATCGGTGAAAGTTACCCAACATCCTCAAGCACAGACGGCATTACGAGGTGAAAACGTTAAATTTACCTGCTGGGCTGTCAATATCCAACAAAGTTCATATGTAACACTTTACTGGTGGAAACAAGGAGAGAGTCACTACTTAAATACAAAACCCGACAACAAGAAAATATTCGATTCAAAAACATTCCAGCTCCTAAACGTGAGTTTTCAGGACTCAGGAGTCTATCTCTGCGCAGTGGTCCTTCAGGGAAAAATAGCAGGAAATGGAACTGGATCACAGTTAATTGTACATGGTAAGTGTGAATACAATAGTAACGGAGAATCGTGAACGGCGATGGATTGCTACATTTTGAAATCAATATGGGTAAATTATTTATTTAATCCTCTACTCTCAGACAAAGATAAGATTGCACAGCAGACAAGGACAGGTTTAATTTCAATATGAAGCACATTGAAGAGCAGAATATTATGCAAACAAAGCTTTGCCCGTTCGTTATTGTACTGATCTGAGCCGGCGAATTTATCAAACACAACAAAGTGGGAAGTTGAATTGCTGAATAATTGTGTTAAGGAATGTTTTCAAACATTTATATCCATCCATACTGTCGTAACTAGAACTGATATCTATCTGATAACTTATTCTGTCCTGAACACGTTCATAGGGATTATCCCACGTTACTGACAATTCAATGCAAGACAAGGGGATTGATCTATGGATTCCCGCTATTTGGTTGAGAAGTTAAACCCAGGTCCCTTCTGCTTGTTCAGGTGGATATGTGAGGGTTCCTTTACATTCGTTACCCTACGGTGAACTACGAACTGAAACAAATGTGGCACAGTTAATCAAATTTTATTAATTATGATTGATAATGGTTATAATTTATTAAAATACATCCAATTTTGCTTACGTATCTGCATACACTACAGTTCAACACAATTTAAGTTGACCAAACTAAATGCTGGGGGAGAGATAGAGGAGCAATGTCCAATGTAATGTCCATTTTTATCCAAGTGTTTGTCCATCAAAAAGTATCCAAGTATTGTTGTACGGTTTCCAGTTCGATATCGCCCAGAAGTATCCGGATATTATTGCAGGTTTAGAGTTGTATAATTCATAATCTTCCTTCTTTAGAAGCTGGAAAATGGAGTGTGACTCCAAGTTCCAATTTTCTTCCTTCTCCTTTGAATCGATCTCCATTTATACTGTTGATGAGGTGACGTTTTACCTATTGCCTTTTGCAAGATGGTTCCATTCTAAAAACAAATGCAACAGAGCTCTTTCCAGCTGCAGACATTTTTTCATGAGAAAACGATTGATTAGGAATGAAAGCAGTTTGTTTATAAACAGACTTTTGTTTCTCCTCATTGAGAAAGGATCTTCTTTGAAGCTCATCACTACCAGCTCTCCTCATATGCGAGTGATCATATGTTTCAAATATATGAAGTAGACATAGTTTGAGATATTATTTAACACATTAATTACAGAATCCTACAGATTAAAGATCCTGTGGTACTATTCAAAAAAGAAGAGAAATTCTTCCACGCTGTATTCTGGCCAATGAATCCCTCAGTTAAATTTGGTTATTCACTCCATTGCTATATGGAAAACTGGCTGCTGTGTTCCCCTACAAAAATGCAAAATTGACACACTTTACAGTGAATCTCGTGAAATGCTTTGAGATGGTCCTCTCATCCTGAAAAACTCCCTCGAAGATAAGAATTATTATTAGGATTATTATTCATCAGAAACGTTTGCACCTGTAGTCCAGGCAATTACAATTTAGTGATTTACATAATTTTTTCTGAATTTCGTCTACAAATAGATAATTAATCCACTTGACAGCATATTAAGTGCAGCAATTTGAGCTATTTTAACAACATCTAAGATTATACACCAAATGCAAAGATTATTACTTTTATGATAAATACAAAAAGCAGAAGTTAACATTTTATAAAATCTGAACTTTTAACTTGCAGCAATATTCCACATACAACATGAAATGGTTTCGAACACCTATTGTAACTGTCGTAAATTAGTTGGAAACTTATACAATTTAAAGAAATATAGTGGAACAAAATTAATGTTGGTGTGCATGGGGAGGTTTTTCTTATTCTCTATTCATGGTGAAATCTTAATTTGAATCTGCATCTAAATTCACTATCCTGCATGATGGTTGCTATTTAAATCCAGGTTGTTGTTGCTCTAAAATGGTAGCAGAGCTTTTAATCCACAACTCTCCAAATCCCTTAAAACTATTATCTATCTCCCATTTAAATATCCCACTTAAATCTGCATCTAAGGCCACTGTTGGAATTGTATTCCACAACTTCACAATATTCCATGTGATGAGAAGGATTCCACATCAATTCTGAGAGCCACAATATTAAGATTATGAACTCCTTCACTTCTTTAGGCCCTCCAAGTCTACTATATCTCCTAAACTGAACACATCATTACAAACAAAAGACACAAACACTTTTTAAAACGGCATTTTCTTGCCTTTACAATCCAGATTCCTTTCTCTTATGTTCCAAGGAAAGAGTTAATATAAAATTCTAATGAGAATAAAGTTTTATATTCCAGCTGATCAACAGTAATGTGATTCTACTCCACTGTCTGCCCTACAGTCCCCCCAACCCCACTGAAGATATTCCCCAGAGATTCTGAAAGAGATTCATCAAAGTCTTTGACTCTTGTGTGTGAAACGGCTGAGTTCTACCCGGGAGATGTAACGCTCACCTGGAATAAAGATGGCAGTGAAGTTAAAACTGGGATAGATCTCACTGAAGCAAAGAATTCAAAAGGACTTTATAAAGCTTCGAGGTCTATGGAAGAGACACAGCCTGTACAGAGTGGGGCTGTTTATACCTGTCTGGTATCTCACATCACCCTCCGGATTCCAGTCGTTGCCGTCTACACTGTTTCTGAATCCAATAAAGGTAATTTGCCAATATCCTGAAGACAATCGTTTTCAACTAAATTGTTATGTAAAACATATTTCCATTTATTTACACAGAAAATTATAATCATATAATTTATAATCAGAAAATTGTAATCATATAATTTATAATCATATATATTATAAATTATAATCATATAATTTTCTTGCAGAATCCTGTTTAACATTCAACTTCACATGTCATTATTTGAACTTAGTCTTTCGTCTCTTAATCTGTAAATTCTTTTAATAAGTTTCAAATCCTTTGACTTTCCTGAATCATAAGTGAGAGCATCAAATGTACATCTGTAATCGCGGTATGTTCTATTTTGTTCTTATTAAGTGATAGATACTTCCCTTCAAATTGGGTATTACATTTTCTTCATTTGGTAACTTTCACTAAGTAGGACTACATGGCGCAGGTTAGCTGTTGCCTTTGCACCCCAGTGACTGGCTGCTACTCTCAGTCTCGCTGATGAGTTTGGCTGGCTGATTTTTGACCAACGGGTTGCACTGCCACAGACAATATAAAACTTTTTTTTCCAAAAAATCCACTTTAAAATCTCTGACCTGATGCACTGTGTAGGGAATAAAACTATAACTGTAATATAAGTATAACACTGTGTAGGGAATAAAACTATAACTCATTGCTGGAGTCACCAACACTTTCCCGTATGATGTTCCTGTAGGGAGTAAGGCTGAGCGCTATGCACTGATGGCTGGATGTGCTGCTGGAGGGCTGGCAATTCTGCTGCTTTTGATCATCATTGGGAAACAATGTCTGTTAAAGAAAAGGAAAGGTAAGATATATTCCTATGTCATTTATGTTAATTATAAATATTTAATTGAATAGAACAATTAGGTGACAACGAGAGCAAACCTCTCACCCTTGTATAGCTACACAAATGATTAATGTGTTGTAATTGATTCACAAATGCAAATGTCCTCATAGAAACTCACCTGTATATATTTAGATGCATTTAATCAGAAGTTTCCATGAAACCAACATATGAAATCTGTTGCGATAGAACTACAGAAATTTACAGCTTTACAGTTTTGGTCTCCTTATTTAAAAAAGGACATACTCGCCTTAGAGGGGGTGCAGCGTAGATTCACGAGGTTGGTTCCTGGGATGAGGGGGTTGACTTATGGGGATAGGTTGAGTAAACTACAACAGCAACAACAATAACTTGGACTTGTGCAATGTTTTAAGGGCACAACCACAGGTATGCAGATCGCCTCTATGCACCACTGTAACCATTAGTTTTAGGCATATACTAAAATATATCATTAACTGAAATAGTTCACATTTGACTGCCGAAATTTCCAAAACCACCAGAACCGCATCTATTTGCAGCAAGCGTCATTTTCCATTAAGCAAAATGGCTATGTTTTTTGCATCCTGCCCCTCACTCTTTAAAAGGACCCATTAACTTTTGATTTACATATTTTCTGTATTTTTTGTTACATATGTCATTGTGTTTATATTTTTTTGGTAATTAAGTGTGGCCCAAGAACTTACATGTTACTGAAAGGCACGAATATTACCTTCAACTAAACACCATTCTCTTTTAAGATACGTCAAAGACACTCAGCAACTCAAGCTTTAAAAATCTTTACTTAATAAGAAATGTAAAGTTTGTCAGTTCAATTACAACAAATACAACAGACAGTCAATAGTACAGACACATGTCCTTTGAATCATCAATGGTGTACAGCTAAACTGGGTACTTTACTTCGTAGTTGCAACACACTGTTGTTCTTCTCCTCCCGTTACTTTTCAAACGATTTCAGCCGTTCTGCACTTGGGAGTGACATGGACATTTTTGTTTTTGGTTATCTCCTATCGTTCATGAACTATGACCTAAAATGTATTTCATTATTGCATTTTTCCCTGCATTTACACCTGGTGGCCGCAAATTCAAAGTAACCCTATGGCAACCTGTGTCACAGAGCACACATGTGGCCAACTGATGGAGGGAACAAAATAAAGAACACAGATGAAGCTAAGACACAGCAAGAAAACCAAAATTACATTGTTAATGCACATTTCATGTTGGGAGGACGTTCCAGTGATTATAAATTATACATTTATATTTATCATTATAAAAATGCCTACGCAAAAATCAAACCTTTCAAGGATAAGTAAAAATGCTAGACAAAAGAAAGCTCATTAAATGAAACTGAAAAACAAAGAACAGCCTGTCTGCACTTCACTTTACTCAGGATCTTGAAATCTCTGGGATAGGCAGCCAGTGCAGTCTGGCAAGGACTGGGGTGAGAAATCGGGGAACGGAGTTTCATGCGGGTGAGAACGTGGGCGGCAGAGTTCTGAATGAGTTGGATTTTATGGATGGTAGTGGATGGGAGACCGGCGAGGAGGGCATTAGAGAAATCCAGCCGGGCAGTGACAAAGGCATGGACCAGAGTTTCAGCGGCTTTTGGGGAGAGGTATTGGCGGAGACTAGGCCTATATTCTCTTGAGTATAGAAGAATAAACAATGGTGATCTTATAGAAACCTTGACAGGGTAGATGCCATGAGACTGTTTCCCTTGGTTGGAGAATCTAAAACTAGGGGTCATAGCTCAAGATTAAGGGTCAGTCTTTTCAAACTGAGTTGAGAAAATTTTTCTTCACTCAGAGGGTAGTGAATTTGTAAAATTCTCTACCCCAGAAGGCTGTGGATACTTCATCCTTGAACATATTGAAGTTGATAGATTTCTAAAGGATAGAGGGATTAAGGGATATGGGAATAGGGCGGGTAAATGGAATTAGGTTAGAAAATCAGCCATGATCTTATTAAATGGCGAGGCAGCTCGAGGGGCCGATTGGCCTACTCCTGCTCCTACGTCTTATGATCTTATGATCTTAATGCACATTACATTGACCTGGTTTTCCACTTACCGCTACAATTAATTAATTTTAGAAAATGTACTAGTTTAGAAAATGCAGATTCCGCCTGAGCCACTTTCACCCACAGCACACTGTTATACGACCCACCCAGTTACATACCCAAAATGCCCAGTGTCACCTGCCATCTCTCTGTCTCTGAGCAATCTGCTGGGTCTGTTATCTCTTCAATTAAACTACAATCCTCTTCACTGTTGCACTTGTGTCTCATCAGCAAACTTAGCAATTGTGCCCAATATACCAAAATCCAGATTGAGTATATAATACTACTACTACTAATAATAATAATAATCCTTGCATTTGATATAGCGCTTTTCAGGCCTTCTTGACGTCCCAAAGAGCTTCACAGTATTTACTGTAAAGTGAATTGACTGCATATTTGTGGGCGAACGCGGCAGCCAATTGCACACAGCAATGTCCCACGAACAGTTATAATTGGAGAAAAGCATCAGGTATCAGCTGAAATGCGACTGTAGAACTCAGATTTAGGATTCTGTTCCCAATATCGTAAAATATGATTTCTCAACAATAGATTGCGTGACAATTTCAAGATATTCCTGGAAAATGTGACAAAGAATTTCATATTCTTTTTTAAATAGGGAGAAAAAGGAATAAGGGAAAATTTAACAAAGGGAAATAGGGAAACATTTAACCGTACAATACAAATTCACATTTATATAGCGCTATTCATGCCTTGTGGAAGACACAAAATTATTGACGTTGCTTGGTTGGTCACCCCAACTGGTCATGGAATTGGGTGGTGGGGACAGGAAAGACCTCTGAAACTGAAGACAAAGAGGTACATTTTCAACTGGGTAGAACAATACAAATTTACAGCACAGCTGTGCATACTGTCCCATTCCATCCATTGTTTCTGTGCTGCCTTTTTAAGAGCAAAGCTTTTAGTCCCAATTTACCTGATTTTCCCAATTATCTTTCCAGTTAACCCATATTAGGTTACTTCTTCTGGAACCCTTTTGAAAACGAATGCGCATTTTACCTCAACCATCACACTCAACAGGGTTTCCTAACTACTGTGTGTGTGGAAAAAATATCTCCTTACCTTCCTATTTCCCATTTTATGGCCATCATAGCCACTGCATTTTCATCACTGAATCACCTACCATTAGAAATAAATTCTCCATTGATGTCAAAACACTTCATAATTTTAAAGAGCTCCAGCAGGTCGCCACTCAAAGTTTTTTGTTCCAAAGAGGAATGTCCCAGATCCTCCAGTCTCTGCTCACAGATCAAACCAACCTCCCCGGGTATCATCTGGAAAATCTCTTCTGCACCACATTCATTCTTTGAGGTCTTTCCTAAGTGGGTAAATAATCCTGGACACAATATTCTAATTGTGCTCTAACTAACAATTTTTCATTTTAGCATTACCTCTTTGGTTTTATATTCCATGCCATAATTTATCCATTTTCTCACTTATTCCATCAACGATTTAGAACCAATCTCTGGCATTTCATGGACTTTGAATCACTTTTTATTCGGTCTAACCAAAATATGTTTGAAAATATTTACGTGGAAATTGAATGAATACTTCATTTATTGAATTTCTTTCCAAGGCTCACGCAGAAACCAAAACAGAAGGGGACATTACGAAGAACAGGTACATTTATTAAATTCATTTCAGCAGATGTCTCAGCTGAAAACAGATTTCTTGTAATGGAAAGATATTATTCATGATTAAGAAATAAAAGCATTTTAAATGTATTCTCTACGTACACCTACATGGCCTCAATGTATGTTGAAATATGAGGTACCGAGTTTCATGTAATTGATTACAGAGCTATATGTTAAACAGCATAAACTTCGGGGAAAATATTTATTCTCGAGGGCTTTCTGATCAGTGCACACACAACAATTTTCAGAACAATCCATCAGCGCCTTAGGACATCAGCACAACTTAAAATGTGCGATAGAAATGTAATGTATTTTTCTTGTTGTGATCACATAGACGACACACAGAGCAGAGAATCAGCCAGTGGCTTATGTCAAATTGAATTTGACTGGTTCCAAGAAAGCTCCAAGCTCTGAAAGACAAGAGACGAGGACTGTGTACGCTCAGGTATATCTGAGAAACACACAATCAAAAACA